GCTATTTAATCACATTTACTATATTTTGGCGATTTTGAGCCTGTGAATGAATAAAATCATGTTAGTGTAAAGTGTGTTTGCTAAAACAGTTATAAGACTGACTTCAAAAAGGTTTTTGCATAGTCTCAAATTGATGTGGGTGTATTTACATATTTTCATATTATTTGTTAGTTCCATGACCCTTGCCCTGTATCCACACACAAACCTACAAAAATACTGATCCAGAAAGACTAAATGTTCCTTCTGAATTAAAGCCGCTTGAGACATTTGTCTCGCACAAATCGCCTTTTCTTTAAAATACATTAAGTAGTTAAGCAGCAGTGCATGTGCATAGCCTTTAAAGATGCAATGTGTAAAAATTTTGAGTATCTATTGACAAAAATGCAAAATGACATCTATTTCTATGTTTTCAGTGGTGAATAAAGACCAGAATGTTTTTATTATCATAGAATGAGATATTTATATCTACTGTAGGATTACAAATTTTATTAAAATGTTTAATTTAGGTTCTAATACAATAGTATGCAAACTGAGGAAGTTTATTAGTGTGAGGAAGTTTAAACAGCGCTACAGAGCGCATTTCGTTCATACCTTGAAAGAGAAGCTGCAGAAACCTAGCCACAAACACTCTGAGTAGTGACTTTTCCCTTGTCAGAAGTGTAAAATATGTAGTTGGACTTTTTCATATAACTTAGTTCTCCCTCACTGTGTTATGCTTTGCTATGTGGGGATAAATGTGCTGGTTACGTTCGTGAGACAGCTGATTAGTAAATGAAAATTCTTGGCCGAAGCCGAATAATAATGAAACGCTTGGCCGAGGGCCGAAGGCCGAATACCGAACATGGCGTTTCACATTTTTTACATTTTTACATTTTTTTTCACCTTTGCATTAATTAAATAGTATATGAGTTTTTTTTACTATTTTGTCTTGCTTTTCAGATATTAAAAAAAAAAAAAAATCTAATTTAAAAATAATTATTTAACACTGAATATTTTTTAAAGATTCCAGCAGATATACAAAGCACAATATAACTTCTATAAATGTACTAAATAAATTAGTAAAAAAATGTCGCTGTATTATGGGTTATGGGTTAAAAAAATGTCGCTGTATCATAATGGACTGTGGTACATGAAACAGTGACAATGTTACACACTCTTGGCTTATTCTGGCTATTCTATGCTGATATGTTTGTCCCATTTTAGCCACCGTAGATTCTTGCTCTTTTTTTAATGTTTATTGTACTTCAAATAATGTTTTTTAATGGCTTTAGTTTTAGTTGATAAAAGACCCATATATGTTACAGATACCATCATATTAACGTTCGAGGAAGCATAACCTGATCTTAAATATGACCTATTTTCATTTCTCTTGAGTAGGAGATTCATTCTCATATGTGGCCTTTAGAGCAAAATAGATGTTGGTAAATGAAGAGAGCCATGTCAGTGACATTTAAAGAAAATGTCATTGTTTTTCAAGAAAAGCAAGCTGAACATGATATTGAGCTGCTTCGCCTCCTCTTCTGGTCTATTTTTCTTCGCACTGGGCTTTTATGAATTTCCTCCCTTAGGCAGATTCAATGAGATTTGTAATCTTAATCAAACAAATGATACTAGCTATAAAAGGATATTTGTAGCATAATAGGAGAAGATAATAATAATGGTAAAATTGGGGTCCATCATCAAAAATATGTCACATCCTCTTCATCGAGGTATTCTTGGAACACCATTGCTCCTAAATTAAAAAGAAAAAAAAAATTTCTTTTCCCCTCTCACTCAGCCCCAATTTACTATCTAATTCAGTCCATTCAGGTCTAAAGTCATCACATGTTTTTCACACTCACAAGTTGTATAACTAATAAATGTTCCCATACATCTACAGTCCCTTAATATTTTGTACTGTTTATTGTCTGTATTCTTGTTGCTGCTGTTTTATTGGCAATAGGCAAAAATAAGGTTGAGAGATTAATTAGAGTATGAAAATTAGACTAAAGGTCACCTGACATAACATCTTCAGTTTCGGATTTTTTTTTCTTTTTTTTTACATTAATATGAATTTCCCTAGCCTGTATTTGGTCCCCTAGTGGCTAGAAATTGAAATCGGTGTAAACTGAGCTTTGGCTATGTTTCTCTACCTTTGAGAAAATGAAAGCTCAGACGAGCTGATCCTGAATCTCCTCCATATTAGCCACAATGGGCTCAGCGTCGAGAGCTGCCCCTTGGTGACGGTCCAATTGTGTCACGCTCCCGCTCAAAAGGGCGTGGTCTTGCCCTATAAAAATAGCTCGATTGGCTGATCTCACTGGTTTTTCATCACCGAAGCGAACCAGCACGTAGCAGGCATGGCAAGATACACAGTTCTCATTCCCTCTTCTAGAAACCAAATATGGTCTCTCACAAGAGGTTCTCTCGTACTGCGTAATATCTATGCAAAACGATGTGCAGTGTTGAGTGGTGCTCAAGCGAGTGCAGTACTCTGTGCCGAAACGACAGGGCAGGTGGTGCTTGACTTTTAAACCGACAGCAATTTGGTTTGTAAGGCGGGAACTTCTAGGTTATAAAACCTTATAAATGTAGACGGGGAAGCCCAGCCTGCCGCCATACAGATATCTTGTAAAGACATCCTACTAGACCATGCCCACGATGAGGGCATGCCTCTGGTGGAGTGTGCTCTAACACCCAAAGGGCACTCAAGTCCCTTTGTAGTGTATGCCATTGCTATTGTATCAACTAGCCATCTTGTTACGAGCCTGGCTCAAAGCAAGCAACAGAGTATAGGGAAAGGCCACACACAGAATAGTTATATACGATATAACTACTTCGATATAACTAACTATATATATATATATATATATATATATATATATATTTGAATTTAAAATGTTATACAGAATAAGGCTGTGGGTTTCTGGAATATAATTGAAAGGACACATCATTGAGCCCTGCAAGTTTAATTTAGTTCCACACAGAGCCTCAAAAGATGTTTCAAAAGATGCAAGAAAATATGCACCGGACAGGAGTTAATGATATATTCCCAGGGGATCAACCTTTTTGACTAATAAATAATTTTATAGTCAATAATCAATGTAGCTACAGACAAAAGTCAATAATCAATTATTTGTTACATGCTACAGCCCCATTAAGTAACCTAGACAATAGCTGAATTGTACAGAACTATGGCACAAAACAAATCTTCTTTTTGCAAACTGTGAGCCTGCTGGTGGCAGGATGCCATGGTTGCCTACCATTTACCATGAAAAACCATAAGTGAACGCAGCCTTAAAAACAGTGTATTATATGATGTGAGATCCCCGTCCGGTATAGCAGAATAGTGTGGCTCAGTGCTTTTCTAGGGAAAAAGTATTAAATAAAAGTTTAATTCACTGAAAAATAAATATTTGTCAACAAAAAAACAGAGAGCATCAAGGCTTTTATCATTAATGAAAACTCACAAACATAAAAAACTCAAGCAATCAAAAGCTTTTAGCTAAATGAAATTTAGCTAAAAATGAGGTTGTGGAAGGAAAATAAATGATTAAACTCAACCTGCCCTTAATGTGCTCCACAATAAATAAAATAAAATAAAATGGGAAAATATTTCCCTGAAGTCCCTGTGTATTTTATCACATTATTTTTATACTAAATTATTATTGCTTTACGGTTGACATGAAACAGAAGTTGTGATAGTCTTTTATTTGCCATATTGTGAAGTGTCCGAGTAAAAGCGGCTTCTTGAACAAAAAAAAATTTTCGGCGGGGCTTGATTTTTGTCCATCGGGAATTGTTGGATCAGTGTAGTTTGCTATTGATGTGATCTCATGACAGGTTGCCCCCTCGTCCCAGTTGTTTAGAGATGTTGAGGGGTAGTTATTTTTAAGAAAGATTATGTAAAAAACTAATGATGTGCACAGATAAATCACTAACAATAAACACTGCTAATAATAATAATATATATATATATATATATATATATATATATATATATACATATAGTTATATAATTAGGGTATATGGTTGCATTTTATGCTTTTAGTTAATGCTTACTGCAACAATTTAGTCATGTGTAGGCTAACCAGGATTTTTTTAAATATATCATTTACAGTCTATATAGAAATATTAGTCACATTATGTATGGGTCACTTATGATGAACTTTGATTCATCACATGGTCCTAACCCAGACAGCAAACTGACATTGAATCAACGTGGAAACGACGTCTCTCATGACATTGAAACAACGTTGATTTTGCTCATCGAATTAACGTTGAACCAACGTCAGACGCGGCATTCTTCAAAGCTAAATGAAAATCGAAAATTGGTTTGCTTACATAACATTGAAACAACGCGTTGATTTCAAGTTGATTTTCCGTTAGTTTTGAAAGAATGACGCGTCTGACGTTGGTTCAACGTTAATTCGATGAGCAAAACAATGTCAGATCGACGTTGTTTCGATGTCATATTTCCACATTGATTCAATGTCAGTTTGCTATCTGGGAAAGCACCTTATGATAGCTATCACTATATTTTCCAGGTCCAAAACATTTTGATTTATTTAATATGTTTTATCAATTGATTTACACAGGCTGAAATGCCATCTCATAACATCTTAAATGCTGTTGGCATATTTTAAATTCATGGCACACAGTGTACCATACATTACAATCAAGCAATAGCAGCAAACCCCAAGCCTAAGATGCAAATTAGATTGTTTTGAGTAAGCTATTACCAAAACTATTAGCCTATATAATCTGATTTATTTGCAGTTTAAACTATTAACTAACTACTATAACTAACTAAGTGGAAACCAATATACAAATATCTTAATAATACTGGTATTCAAAAGCATAATGCATTAGCCTACAGCAAACATCTCATGAAACACGTGAGGTCAAAATAATCATCACCACGCGGGATGTAACCCTTGAGCTGTCACACACTGACACTGCGAAGCTTTACAAACACTTCTTCAGTTCACGAGTCGTAGCCTATACATGTAACGAGCAACGCTTACTCTCTCTTTGTGGGCTGCGTGAAGCAGAACACTTTGCTCTTCATCTTTCTTGGCTCTATTGACCGACTCAAGGCTAAAGTCGAGGGGTCTTTAGGGAGTTAACGAGTAAGCCAATAGTTAATCTTCTCCCGCTGTGCTAAAAAATAATAAAGCAAAAGTAATAAAGTTGGAGACCAAGCGCCAGAACCTCAGCCTGTCCCAGTGCAAAAAACAAGGAAAGGAAAAGGGTTTTATGCCGCAATGGACTCTGCAAAGTTTTCCAGGAAGCTGTGGTACGCGCGCAAACAGCTCATTCTGATACTCGCCCCGCTACTGCTGCTCCCGCTGATCTTCGTTATGCCACCAAAGGTAAAGAGTTGTTAAAATCAGTCACCTTCTTCTATGGCCTCTTTTGGACTCAGAGGATTGTTAATTATGCGTTACTGCAGAATAAATGTGACACAGTTGATTAAAATTGTGTAAATATTCGCAGATATTGACCTATTTCAGAAAATATTATTTTCTATCAGTAGAAGAAAAAAGCACATCTGTTTCTGACCCCAAAATGTAAAATCTCAAGCTTATGTTGTTCCAAACTTTGTATATTTAGGGGTACAATATAGCTTGTCACGGACAGTATAGGCCTACCTAAAAATTGAATAAAAATTACATCTACTTTTTTTACACCTAAAAAGTGCATTCCAGTATTAGTTTCTTAGAGTAGCAATATGACTGCAACCAACGTCAACATCACCGCTTTCAAGACCCAGACAGATATGACATTGTTAAAATAGTCCATCTGGCTACAGTGTTTCAACCTTGATTTTATGTAGCAACGAGAAAACCTTTTGTGCAGCAAAAACAAAAACAAAACAACAACAACAAAAAAACAACAACAAAAAAAACAAACAACTTAATTCAACAATTTCTTTCTCTTCCATGCCAGTCTTTTCCGGGTTCTACGTCAGATCGCCAGCTCAGTATTGGCCGGCTCCTGCATCACACGCATGAATTGTGGTCCTCACATAAACAGCGTCAGAGACAAGGAAGAGAAGAAATTGTTAAATAAAGTCATTATTTTATTTATTTTCTTGCGCAATTCTTGTCGCTTCATAAAATTACGTTTGAACCACTGTAGTCTAGGGCTGTAACGATATGCGATATGAATCCGAAATCGCGACACAGGTGTAATAAGGCAGAATTGCAGCGCACCCCTTCCAACTCCCAGTTATCTTTCACGTCCAGATCCAATGCTACTACATCTTTAAATTACTATCAGTATTATTTGAAGTTAAAGGGTTAGTTCACCCAAAAATTCTGTCAATATTTACTCACCCTCACGTTGTTCCAAACCTCTCTTTGTTTATGTCACGTTACGCTAAATAGAACCCAAGCGCAGACAGAAGCTTTCTCAAAACACGGTTTATTTATAAACGGAAAACAAAGACCCACGATGGGGCAAACAAACAGAAACTTTAAGACAATAACAACCTTGACAATATAACTAGTACATTCACAGACAGATCACAGTACTCACAGAACCGACTGTTAACAAGACGAACCAGCACTGAGGAACAAACACTGAAACCTTACATAGAACACATAATCACAAAGCTACAGGTGACACTGATGAACATCAAAACTAACGAGGGAACAAGGGGCGTGGCAAGGACACATAAATCACTCACAGGTGACACTGATACAACATTAACTAACAAGGAAACGTGGGTAAAAGACAATGCAAACACATAGGCCAAAACCATGTGTTTGTACACAAAACAAGAGACAAATACATGACATAACCTCCTCCTTACGGAGCGGCTACCAGACGCTCCACATGGGACGTAACCAACTGTAAACTAGACATAAACCAACAACATAGAACAACCATTAACAGTGGCAAACATGAAAACATAACAGTAGGATTGGGATGGCACAATAAAAATAAAACATGAGGGAGGGAGGGAGGGGGGGGGGAGGGGGAACAAAAGTTCTTGTAGGTGGAGGTCCAGAGTGGATGGGTGGAACAAAAGTCCTGGATTCACTGGACATGGGCACAGATTGAGGACACGAAAACTGGGCAGTTCTGGGTGGAGACACATGAGGTACAGTTTTGGAAGGGACCGGGGGCACCACAGACAGCTCAGCGTGGACAGTCCTATTCTCCTTAGCTGGGACAGAACTGGTGTTGGTCACTCTCCCATCCACCTCAGCGTGGACAGGACTTGACTCCATAGCTGGGACAGAACTGGTCTTAGTCACTCTCCCATCCACTTCAGCATGGATGGGACTTATAGCTGGGACAGGGCTGGACATGGTCACCCGCTCATCTACGGCAGCATGGACCAGACTGACAGAAGCATCTTGGAGAGTCAGCACAGAACCAGGAAGGGACTGAGACGGTGAACCTGACGATCTCTTCCTCCTCCTCTTTGACCGTGGTGCAGAAGCCATAGCTGGACCTAGGATCCCCGCAATGTCTGAAGCAAAAGCTGAAGGACCTTTTGTAGACGAAGTTGCGAGAACGTGGCTTCCAAGCGTTGTCGTGGCCAGGACGTGACTCTCCGGGATCGCTGGCAATGCAGTCCTCGTGGGGTCCTGCCTCTCCTTTTGGCGCACATGGTCCACTACTTCTCGAAACGGGCGCCGGATCAGCCCCTGCCGTTCAGCCAGCGGAGGAGGTACATTAAGCCCCGCGATGAAATAAGAGTTTAGGAGGACCTCCGGTGTAAAACTTCTCTTCTCCTCTAGGCCCTGGGCATATCTCTCCAGGGATCTCTCTCCCTGGGGAGGAAACGGAATCTTGCCCCTCCTCATATCCTCCATGGTCGACTGCCACCATCGCTCCTGGTCACCCAACTGGCTACTGGCGGAACAAGACATAGCCTATTGTCTGCTGGGTTAAAAAAAAAAGGGCTGGTTCGTTCTGTCACGTTACGCTAAATAGAACCCAAGCGCAGACAGAAGCTTTCTCAAAACACAGTTTATTTATAAACGGAAAACAAAAACCCACGATGGGGCAAACAAACAGAAACTTTAAGACAATAACAACCTTGACAATATAACTAGTACATTCACAGACAGATCACAGTACTCACAGAACCGACTGTTAACAAGACGAACCAGCACTGAGGAACAAACACTGAAACCTTACATAGAACACATAATCACAAAGCTACAGGTGACACTGATGAACATCAAAACTAACGAGGGAACAAGGGGCGTGGCAAGGACACAAAAAATCACTCACAGGTGACACTGATACAACATTAACTAACAAGGAAACGTGGGTAAAAGACAATGCAAACACATAGGCCAAAACCATGTGTTTGTACACAAAACAAGAGACAAATACATGACAGTTTATTTGTTCTGCTGTACACAAAGGAAGATATTCGGAAGAATGTTTTAATCAAAAAGATCTCATTCCCCATTGACTACCACAGTAGGAAAAAAATACATATGGTAGTCAATGGGGAATGAGATCTGTTTGATTAAAACATTCTTCCAAATATCTTCCTTTGTGTTCAGCAGAACAAATAAACACATCGAGGTTTGGAACAACATGATGGTGAGTAAATACTGACAGAATTTTCATTTTTGGGTGAACTAACCCTTTAACGTTATAAAATACATAGACCTACACCACAAAAAACAGTTGACGATAAATTTCTTAATTTTACCTATAACGGCCGTTTCACACCGCTAGTGCCAGTGTTTTTTTTTTTTTAAAACATGAATGTTAATCATTAAGTGCATTCACACCGGGAGCAGGAGCAGTGCGTGAGAGTCAAGCAGGAGCATGGCTTGAACGGCAGTGAAGTGGTGGTTTTGCTGCGCTGCTCACGCTCAATTAAAGTAAAAGCACGCTTTTGATGGACAAAAGAAATATGATTTACATTTACATTTACATTCACACAAAAAATGCCAAAAATGCACAGAATCAGCATATCTGAGTTTTAAAGGCGCACTATGCAAGAATTCTACCTTAATATAACAGCTTCAAAGTCATTTTGGTGGTAAACAAACTCATAGTAGGCTGAATCATCTTGGTAGTAAAGCTTGTGGAGAAGGGGGACGCTGCTGGAAAAACAAACAATGCAAGTTTGAGAGGAGCACCCTTGACAAATATCACGAGAATCACAACATGCTTTATGGCAACGACGTCACGGTCCCACTTTATATTAAGTGGCTTTAAGTATTATGTACTTACATTGAAATTAATAATTTGATACAATGGACTTATTGTGTTCATACATGTTTTTACATTGTAATTATATTTGATAAATACCAGCATGTAATTACAACTATAATTAATTTATGTAATTACATTTGTAATTACACAGTTGACCCTTCCCTCACACCTTAAACTACCCTTAAACCGACCCATACCACCACACCTGTCCCTAACCTTACCCGTATCATACCTCAGTAGCAGCAAAAGTGTTTTACAATACAACATGAACACAATATTATGTTGTACTTATTTTTCGATGTAAGCACATAGTACTTAAAGCCACTTAATATAAAGTGGGACCAAATATTTTTTGAGAAAGACAACACAAAGGCACTACTGAAGCAGAAAATTTAACAAAAAATAAGTTTGTTATGTTTTGAATGATGAAGCAATATATTGTCCAAAACGAAGGCAAAAGCTTTCTGTTTGTAATACATGGTTTGCATAGGTTCATAATTTATGAGATTATTAACAAGCCACTGCACACTTCATCCTCCAATGATCTGATTAATAATGAACCAAGAATGAGTTGGTTAGAAGTAATTGCAAAATGGCTTAGAAAAGTGAAATTAGTTGTGAGAAAAGGTCTAGCAACATGCCAATGCCATATTACATAGTGCCCTCTAAAGGTGTCAGAAAGTGTATGTGATGATGTACCGGTAATACAATGCAGGACTTCTATTTAAAATATTTAAAATGCCTACAAGGACTTTAAAATGAAAGTGCTGCTCTCCGCTCTGAGAATGTGTCTAGTGAAAATTTGCTGAGGAATATTTGCACACACAGAAAATGAATTTCCATGCATTCACAGCAATCCTTATTAACTCATCCCTGCATCTATCCATCTCTTTCTTTGTCCAGGAGGGCAAATGTTTGTATGTGGTGCTTCTGATGGCAGTGTACTGGTGTACCGAAGCTCTACCACTGGCGGTGACTGCCATGCTTCCCGTGTGCCTCTTCCCCACCATGGGAATCCTGCCTTCTTCGAAGGTCTGTCCACAGTACTTTCTGGAGACCAACTTCCTGTTCTTGAGTGGTTTAGTGATGGCATCTGCTATAGAGGAGTGGGGTCTCCATCGCCGTATAGCCCTCAAGGTGCTGAAGATTGTAGGAGTGAAACCTGCCTGGTGAGAAAGATTCTGTCTTCAAGATGACCTATTAACATTTTAAACTTTATTTAGTGTCTAATGTTGCTGTTTGAGCATAAAAAAGGTCTACTAAGTTATAAAGCACAAAGTCCACTCCAAAGGGAGTTCCTGAACCACCTCAATTGTAGTCTTGAGTTTTCTTCCAGGAACGTACACGTCACAATATTCCTCATTTAAATAATTCTTGCCCAAGGCATATGAAGAAAAGGAGACGAGGGCTGGTGGAGTTGCATTAGTATTGTGTTGAAATTCACAATTTCAAAATGTGGGGCTTCATAGAGAAAGAAAATAAACAGGGCTGCATTTTTAATAAGCTACTGTAAGTTGATCATGGAGACCATTGTTGCCAATGATTCTGTGATCTGCTTAGGCTTATGATGCTTTTGAGAATCGCAGCTCCTGGTGTTACAGATAATTTGATCTTTTACTCAAATATGAAATCTGGTCATTTACTCAAATATCTGTGTCAATTCAATCAATTATTAGTTGGTAGTGGTACAACATTCGATAAATAGGAAACAATGCAACAAAAGTATCTCTGCTTATTTTTATAGCTTTTCTCATCCCATATAAGTTTTCTCAGACACAAAAACTGAAAGAAAAAAGTAAAACATGTTTCTGCGGATAAATTATAGTATTCCACAGCGTGGTTTTGATTCATAACATATTTTGTATACTTTATTGATTGTGGAGTTGTTTTTCTTTATTTATTGGTCAGTATGTGCAGACAGAAAAGATAGAATATAAAATCTACTGTCAGTTTTATAGGCAATAAAATTACTTCACCATTTGACACAGTTTTATATCTACACATTGTGTACTGTGCACCCACATTTTATTGCACGGATGGTTGCGTAATCATATATTAGGTGTGACTCTGCTTGTCTTTCTTTCCTATCCAGGCTGATTTTAGGCATGATGATCACTTCCTCTTTCCTGTCAATGTGGTTGAGTAATACAGCCACAACAGCCATGATGCTGCCCATTGCCAACGCCATACTGGAAAGTCTGTTTGGAAATCTGGAGACTCTAAAAGAGAACTGCAAGGTCAAGCGGGACCCAGAGGGTTGGTAGAGTGGGGAGAAATTAATATTCTGTGCGTTGCAAGCTAATTAGGAAATGAATGTCCTCATCCTCATTTTTAATGTAATCATGACATCAGCATACTATTTAGATTTATTTGGTCTGAGAATATTTATTTTAGGGCACACACGACTACACAAGGCACACATGACTTTAAGGCACACATGACTACACAATATAGGCCCTACAACCTGAATGGAGAACTTTGAACTGAACAAAGCTTCTTTTTTTTTTTTGGCAGTCAATATTTATTTCTTTAATGTGTAAATATATTCAGAAGCCTACTTTTATTTAAAATATAAATATATTTTTTATTATTTTATTCTAAGTTATATAAATAAAACATTCCATTGCAGGTGATTCTCAGGTGAAGATGCATGTGCTTCCTTTTGAAAAACAGATACTAACCTCAGATGACAGGTAAGTGAGAATTATTCATTTGTGACTTTCTTTGAACAAGCAAACTTAAATATCAAACACAAGAACTTGAAGATTTGATATCTAGTTCAGTCATAAAACTCTAGAGGGTGCCGTCTGATAGGTCTTTTACATGCAATCTTCCTGCAATTACATCATTACTTCATGGAACAAGCTGATTGGCCTCTGCTGATCATTATTTTTTTAACATTTAAATAGTCTGATTCAGTGTTTGCTGTAGGCTACTCCTTCAGCTTGCTACCAGAGTTCCTCTGAAACCTTCCACCTCCCCCAGCTCCACCTGTCTAGATCTGCTACAGCAATTGTGTGTTTCTATTTATGCAGTAGCAGCAAATTTTGCATGTCTGACTGTGCGTCAATTAGCAGTAGTGATGGTAGAACAAAGTGTTTCAAAACTTTTAACTAATTCAACCAATTGCTTCGCAAAATGATTAATGCTCAAAACGCCACACACGGGTGACCGTTACTGGTCAGAACAGTGTAAATGCAATGAAAACCCAGCCCAAATATCAATAAAAGCGCCTTTTACAAACCAATTGCAATTGTTTTATCTACTTAATGCAATTAACAAATAATCTATTAACACTAAATATGATGTGTCTCTACAATATGTTTATTTTATTTTATTAAATTGTAGGGCTTGTTTTGGGTGCTTTATGTAGAGCTTTTAATCAGACCAGTAAGAGATTTAACTACAACTCTTAATTTGAAATTATGTATCATGTCATTAAAGGGTTAGTTCAGCCAAAAATGAAAATTATGTAATTAATGACTCACCCTCATGTCGTTCCAAGCCCGTAAGACCTCCATTCATCTTCGGAACACAGTTTAAGATATTTTAGATTTAGTCCGAGAGCTTTCTGTCCCTCCATTGAAAATGTATGTATGGTATACTGTCCTTGTCCAGAAAGGAAATAAAGACATCATCAAAGTAGTCCATGTGACACCAGTGGGTTAGTTAGAATGTTTTGAAGCATCGAAAATACATTTTGGTCCAAAAATAACAAAAACTACAACTTTTTTCAGAATTGTATTGTCTTCCGGTTCTGTTGTTTTGTTGTGGTCCGTGAGATTTCACGTAGTGAAACTACGCAAAGCTTCTGTGTTGCACGTTACAGATAGGCTCACTATTGACCGACGCTGGTCATGTGTGTGATGTGTGTGATGTACAACCTAGAAGCTTTGCAGTTATTGCAGCATTAAAATTGGTGTAATGATAGTCTGGATTTGAAGCTTATAAATGTTCTCACGTGAATATAAAAACTTGTTAGAGCATCCTTTTATAACCTTAGAATTTCAAGTCTGAGTCTTTACTAAGAGATTCAGTCCCCTCTGTAACCCCACAGACCTGACTGGACAGACAGATCAGAGCAAACGAATCTGGAAGTGGTCAGAAGAGAGTCGGTATACCAGATGAAAGTGTGGAAAGGATTTCTGATTTGTATACCTTATGCTGCAAGCATTGGAGGAACTGCAACCCTCACTGGCACAGCCCCCAACCTGATCCTGGTGGGTCAGCTCAAGAGGTATACCATTTTTCCATGGATGCCATGGTAAATTACAATAGTAATAGTTTTGCATTGCATTCTTTTATTCATCTATATATTCATTTACCAGATGCTTACATTCAAGTTGACTTGTATACGAGGAATACAACATGAGCAATTCAACTTAAAAGTGAAAAGTGCTTGTGAAAAAAAGTGCTCTACAGTACAAAGGTCCAAATATTGCTTTTAATAGCACATTCAGGGTAGACACAAGAACAGTAAAAAGAATAACAAGAAAAACTACTATAGTAAGTGCTCATGTAAGAGTTGTGGTTATTTTTAAAAGTATTACACACAATTATTTACAGAAAATTATTATTAAAATGTTCAGAAAACAAATCTGGTGTGTTTGAGTCAATAGTTTGAGAGATACATGAAAGCTGAGAGCAAATAAGATGGGGGGAAGCACTCAGATTCAAACAAAATAGGATAATAGTCAGACACACATGCATCAATAACCTCCAGATTTGAAATGGAAAAACCACGAGACAGTACCAAATCTAATCTGTGTGACCCAGATTGTGAGTTGGACCACATACAGATTGTACAAATTTCGAAGACTCTAAAATAGTTATAAATTCTTTGACCAACATTTTAGAAGAGCAGCAGAGATGAATGTTAAAATCCCCAAGAATCAATAGTCTATCAGCCCGAGTCACCAAATCAGAGAGAAAATCAGAAAATTGTTGAATAAAATCCTTATTGGATGTAGGGGGTCTGTAAATAAGAGCACATAGCATTGGACAATTTAAATCAACATTCAACAACTGGACTTGAAAACTGGAGAAGGTGTCCATAGGCACAGACTTGCATTTGAAACAGTTTTTAAAAATTGTTGCAACCCCACCACCATGTCCAGAGGCCCATGGAGAACTGAAAAAAGCACAGTCAGGAGGAGCAATCTCGGCAAGAGGCATCAAGTCACCCTGTTTTAACCAGGTCTCAGTCACAAATAAAAAGTCTAAGAAGTGAGATGTAAACAAGTCATTTAAAATAAAAGATTTGTTCGATATTGACCTTACATTCACTAAGGCCATCTTTACAGTAGCGGGGCAATCAGACTGCCGAGAGCTGAGAGACGCGTATTTGACCAAACTGATGTTTCCAAGAAGAGTGGCGACGTGGCGACCAGATGACAGGGATGGGATAATTATCCTGAGACACAGTCGAAGTCCTCACAAGGAGGTCACGGCGAGATCCACGATGGATGTACCTGCGACAGCGTGTAATTCCCAATGCGGCGCAGCGGTTATAAATTGCGCCAGAAAGACGGCACAACGAATTTAGTCTCTGTCAATCCACCGAAGAGTATTTAAGCACCATATTTCGAGAATTATCCACACCGGGATCGAAAAGCAGACCCCACTTTGAAGAACAAACAGTAGAACTCCAGCACACCAGTGTGCAAATGATATAACACCACATTTCGATCTTGATTCACTCCTCCATGTTCAAGTTCACCAAACGAGTCTCAATAGATCCACGCATTCAGTATGAGAGAACCTCTCGTAAGAGAACTTACTCATTTACTAACGTAACCTTCTCTCTAGAAGAGGGAACGAGTACTGTGTATCTGTGCATGCAACATGCTCTGGTTCCCTTCGGCGATGAAATATGGAGCTGTATTTTTATCTCGGCGGGACATGACGTAGTGGGCGTGAAGCGCCCCCATTGGATCTGATGTCACCAAAGGCCTCTATCGATAGGCTGCTCTATCACAGGACAGCCAATCATAGGCAGTATAAGAAGTGGACAGAGCCCTCTCATTGGAACTCAATTGAGACAAGTGAAGCCCATTTTTTTGCGATTTTTTTAGGACTTCCGTTCCTGACGCGCAGACTCGACGTAGATGTGACGTGAGCAACCCGTCTGTCTTCTAGTGGCTGTGGCATGAGAAATCTGAATCATTCCCTTCCGAAACTTGCTGAGGTGGAGAGTGTGAGTAGGAGCTTTCCATGAGCTAGGAGCAGGAGAAATTTTCGCTAGGTATTCTGATGAATTATTTTGTCATTTTGCCTCCACGTTTCCCCGAATGCCTGCGAGCTTCTCCTCCTGTCCATACGGTAATGGCCCTGTCCCAAATGGCACACTCCGAACTTGTGGACTTCCTCAGAGTCCACACTTTGATGACGTCATGTAATGCAGACCTATAGGGCCCTTAGCGCGAGTCCGCGAGGGTGCATTGAGAGGTATTTTTGGGACAGACTCGATCGTCACGCCAGAAACAGGAACTCGTTCCTCATGCCTGTGAAAGCCTTATCCCTCTCCATACGGAGCTGAATAAACTTAAAGATCATCTCATCAGTCCCTTTATTAGAAATATATAATAATTATTTTTGAATGATATAAAAAAAAATTATCATTAAAAAAATTCCAGTCTTTAGCATCGAAAACAGGATTTATTTTATTTTCCCAAATCTTATCCATGTGAACTACACAGCCTGCTTTTAGAGTTCTATAATTGGATATGCCACCTGGGCATTAGAATAGATGTCATGGTTATGTAAATGATAAATACAGTTGAATAATAGCCTACATAATATTCAATATTAACACAAAACGAAGAAGAGTTTAAGAAAAATGTATAGTTTCAATATTCATACTACGTTTATATGACTCAGTTCAGTTCAGTTCATATAATGAATCATAATGCAATCGTATATTCAACAGCTATTATTACGTTTGAGATACAACCACTGGTCGATAATATGTTTGTATAAACTGTAAGTAACAACTAGTAAAATGTACGCCTATGTCATAAAAAACATAATTATACTCTTAAATATTCTCTTCTCAGCCATGTTTACAGTCCCCGAGCGAAATCTCCTCCCATTCTTTTTTTCTGATTGGCACTTCACAAGGATTCCTGGGTAGTTAATGTGCGTAGAGCCTGCATCTATGCGGGCTTCGCGGAAGACCGCTTCAAGGGTACAAAGGGGGTGCTGCTGAGCACACTTCAGAGAGTTAAAATGCTAAACGGGACGGCCTACGGACTTGTAGACTCAGCGAGCACGCGCAATCTAAATCCGGCTTCAACCCGGTCGATGGATTACCCCTTTGCAGCCAATAGGCACGCGAGCCATCTTGCCTTGTCTGCATGCTTTAATTTTTGGCTTTAATAACTCGTAAGCGTAAGATATTACGCAGTACTCTTTCCCTCTTCAAGAGAGAACCGAGGTTACGTTAGTAACCGAGTACGTTATGTCAAGTTGTCATAACAAAGACATTTCAAACAATGTCATATTTGCATTAAAAATTTAATAATTGAGCGAATGACACTTAATAACAGTTGTCATAAACATGCATAAAACCTCCTTCATATTCATGTGTCATGTCATGATTATGAAAGTGTCATGACAGTCTTATGCACACCCCTTCAAGTAAAGTGTTTCCCAAAAACCCTGTTGAACAGTTGCAGTGATTGTGTGCCATTTATACTGCCCTGTTTTAACTAATGAAGAATTGTGGGTGCCACATAACTTTGAAAAAGCTGTTTATCCAAGTAATTAGGTCACCAACAACAAGCCAGATTGGAACATAGTTTGGTTTCCACTCAGGATCACCACAGAGTTTGAGATGGCCGAAATCCCAGCTTTAGTTTTCTCAGGCAAGACAAAAGATTTGAGTGAGTTTCCAGGGTAATTGTCCTTTAGTAGCAAGCAAAGACATTTAGAAAGCTTTTTAGATCAAATTGAGAACATTTTAATTAACATTTTTGTGGTATTTTCATTAAATTAAATTAAATTGAATTAAATTAAAATTATTCTAGGATCAAATCAGCAAAGTTCATAAAGGAACTTTTATGGGTTTTCAAGAATTTAGAGAGCAGAAGTAAAGGTGCTTATAATTAGAAATGTTCTAATTTGGTGCAAAATGTCAGTATACATTTTCGTGAAAAACCCAAGAATCCATCTAAACTACTATGATTTGAGAATGGTCAAAGAACATCTTGTGCGCTTTGGTTTAACCTTTTGCATAAAGGCATTCACATGATCTATGTCACAGATTTACCCAAGTAACCTAAGAAATAGTACAGAATCTTCCATTTCTTTGTAATTGTCCTAACTTTTTTCAAAATTGCTCTATTTATTCAAATAGGTTAAAAAGGTTGAACAAAATCCAGATTTGGTGGTATCTACATAAATCATAGTTAAATAGTCAAAATGTGCTGCCATCAGGACATAAAGATCTGAAAGTGTTGCACCCGCTGTGGGGAAAGACTGAGAGCTAGTTTAGTGCATGTAGTTTATTGCAGCTGTTGAGCTACATGTAGATTGCTCATGACTTGCATTTAAAATGATGATTATATGACTTTTAACAGACATTTAACTTTTCTTGCTTTAACTGATTGGCTGGATGAAGACCTCAAACTGAACTGACTGTCCTTTGGCTTACATAAATTCTGTCATGAAGTGAGAGATCAGATCAAAGGTACTGTTTTGTTAAAAACAATGCAGTGTTGTGCTTCAACCTTTATTATGTTAAAAAGCCTTAAGGTGAGCTGTATACAGTACATCTCAAATGGAAATTTACTTACTGGGAGTAATACAGTGTTTATTTGTTTTAGTTTCTTGCATACTTCAAATGTTATTAGATTAGGTTTTGTGAATGTAATGCAGTAACTTATTTGGCTACAGGCTCCAATCATTTACCATATTTCATCACTGATGTTTAATCGGCTAAGAACATGTCTCATAATGACTAGACAAAAAGGTGAGACAAAAGAAGAGCTGAGGTTACACAAAAACACACTTTACAGTGATCACCATTTTTTTTTTTTTTTTACTTCTGCTTTGGCCTTTAAATGAAAAAATATATTAGAATGAATTAGAATTAAAAAATAAAAATTGATCTGGAATTTGGCTCTGTAAGAAAAGATTGACCATGAAAGCACTTAATACATATGTTACGAAGCTGGAGACGAGATGAGATCCATGTGCAGCTTTATTTAGAATCATCAAACAGGCAGGGGTCAGGAAACAGCAAAACAGGGATATCAGAGAGTGAGCGCAGAGAGTCGTCAGGTAACAGGCAGAAGATCAGGGCAGGCAGCAAACAGGCAGAAGTCAGGAAACAAACCAGGATCAAAACCAGAGAAACCAGAAACAGGATATACGCTCAGAAATTACAAGCCGTGGCAATGCAATACTTCGCAAAGAGTCCTTGTATGAGTGTAGCTTATATAGGCAGTCTGAAATGAGGTGCAGGTGTGTGTGTAATCAGTCACAGGGAAGAGGCATTATGGGAAACGGAGTTCTGGTGGGAGTATATGAGTAAGTCATTGAATCATTTACTTAAACGAGTCATTCGAAAACAAAAGTGATTCATTCAGGAACGAAGCACCTGCATGTTTCTCGGATATTATCTAATCTGCTGTGGCTTCCGGGGACCCCCAGAAGGCTCCAAGGGAGTACTAGGGGGTCTGTGGAAAATAGTTCAAATTATTTTCATTGGCGGAGCAAAACAACAGTCAAACTAATTGCAGTGTCTTGCATGTTTGTGTAGCTACTTCCCTGAATGTGACCTCATAAACTTCGGTTCATGGTTTGTCTTCGCCTTCCCACTCATGCTCCTCTTCCTCTTTCTGGGCTGGATCTGGATTGCTTTCCTCTATGGCGGGATCAACACACGGTAAATACGCAGTCTAAATTTAGAAAATGACACACGTATACTACTGTATATTAACCCAAAAAAATGATCATCCACATGCAAGGGACCCCATCCTAAAATTATAAGGCAGTATATGTAAACAGACCCAATTTATTCATGAAAATTAGTATTATGTATAGGCTAATGATAATATTGTGTAAAATACTATATTATTATTTCTAGTACATTTCATTATTATGTTTTCCCGTATTAATTAGTACTGTTAGATTTTAGTTGAAACTCAGTTTAATATTTATTTTAACATGTTTTTCTCTGAACTCGTAGTACTCTCTTGAGCCCCCTGGGGGTCCCATGACCCCAGTTTGAAAACCCATGTGCCATGCCCATGTGCATGTATTATTGTCTGTTTTTTTTTCTACACAGACTTTGTATTAGCAAACATGATGAACGGGCAGCCGCAGAAGCAAAAGCACAAGCTGTTATTGATGAGGACTATAAGAAACTGGGCCCAATAAAGTAGGTTGTGGAGCATTTTAACATCCTAAACACTTGTACTTCCCTCTGTTGTGCTTTCTGACATTAATTAAATGAAAATATATTCTTCCCCTCTCCTAGTTTTGCTGAAGGATCTATCGCTTTCTTCTTCATTATTTTTGCCATCCTTCTGTTCACGAGAGATCCAAAGTTTGTAACAGGATGGTCGGTTTTCTTCACCAAAGGGTAAGGCACGTCTCAATGATATAGGCAGACACTGAAAAAATTATTTGACTTATTATGAGTCAAAAGAAAAGCAAAGCAAACGCACACCTTAAGAAGTGCAAATTAAAAGGGAAAACTTAATGCAAAAAATATGTAACTGCACACTCTCTTAAGCACATTTGCATTTTGGCACAAGTAGCCTTTGTCAATGTATTATTTCGTACAAGATGGAGAACAGCATAAATGATAATCATGCACAGGTGAGAGAAATGACATCCAAATTATCTTCCTATAATTACCAATTATACTCTCTCAACAAAAGTCTATATGAAAAAAGAATGATAAATACAGAAACGACAGCAATTAGTTAATTATTGGATGATGATTTGGATATCATTACTCTGCACTGAGCAGTTATTTTTTCTTTTGCATTATGTATTTTGAGTAAGCTAAATATAAAACTTGTAATATTCTGAAACTATCATGTAAAAGCATGAACCATATAGGCATTTTGTTCATAAGTCATATACAAATGGGTTTTTAGAATAGTGTTTTATAGGGTGTCTGTTCATAGGTTTTGATTAGGCTGACCCTCAAAGACATCCTTTTTAAAATTCTATGACTAAAACATGTAACGTTCCTGATGGACTATTTTGCCCTTCAGGTTTTAAAACCATTAATACAAACAGCATAATAATATGCCATTCTTTAAACAACATAATTTGTTGTACTAATCATCATTATAAATATGTCTACTGTCACCTAAATTGAGACAATGCTGCTGGTTGTCATTTATTTTCTAATAGATTTATCAAACATAGGCTATTCATTCCATCCTGCATTATGTAAAGGTCAAATGAATTCAATGTGTGCTAACCTATGCCATTAGGATTTGGTCTATTGTTCATGATGGAAAATTAATGCAATTAGGAGTTACTGCTTTAATTGTCTTAATTGTTTGAAAAAAAAAAAATAGGGAAAAAATGTGCTGTTTATATTAGTCAATCATTGAAATTAGTCAAGTAGTGTATCATTGGAATATAATTTCAATGATTGACTAATATAAACAGCACTATTATATATATATAGAAAATTTCAAATGGCATTTAGAGGCTTTTGCATCTGAACTCTTCATATATATACACACACAAACACATACATTTTATGTAATCTTTAAGCAGGTTTACACTTGTTTATAGACACTAGTCTACACTGTGTTTTTTTTTCCCCTTACTTGGTCCATCACACTAATGCACTTTGACAGAAAGGTTCAAAAATATAGACCAGTTGATCTGCTCCCTCCACTGAGCTAACCTTTCTCTATCTGCAGGATGTGAGTTCATCTTGAGTCATCCCTATAGTTAAGACCTAAGATAAGCACACAACTTAAAGAGAAATAGAAACAGAGAGAACATAATAATGTGTGCATGCATTATTAAACACCTTTAGTGGACCACAATGGAAATACGCCTGAGGCTTTTTTTGTGTATTTTATCCATGACAGGTTGTCTTGAAATGCCTTTGGCATGATACATGTTTAAAATCATTGTTGAATAAATCAAATCAAATCTACTGTACTGTATATGAGAGAAATATGACTGAAACTATGCTGTTTCTAAACATGAGATGATGAATTGGTTAGCTGATTCATATTAATGTGCTGAGATGTAAAATCAGGATTGCTGTCAGAATTGGCATTCAGTTGTCTAAAATTTTTTCCACATTTGTCAGCATATCATATTTTCTTTTCTATTTAAAACTATAAGACATTTGGAGGTTGGTTATACATCTGAATTAATGTTGTCTTTAATGTCTTTTTACTCTATAAACCACAATGAATTAGTATTAAAGGTGAGTTAAACACTGTGTAGGAATTTCTCCCATCCAGAGGTGAAATTGTATTTTGCTATCAAACGAATAGTGCTCTCTAGTGCCTCGCTTTTTCAAATCTGTTTCGCAACTACGGTAGCCAATATGTAGCAAGAAGCCATGACAACATGTCTTCCAATAGCACTTCATCGAGTTTAACAATACATGTTCTACCATTATGCTGCCTGTACTATATAATGAATTATACAACCAAGCATTGAAAAAAGCTTGTAATTCAGACACTGACTTGTGTCAGACCTGTTGAGAAGAAAGCAGGCAACTTCAGCGTCCCTTTCAAAGTCTTTTTCCTTCATTAGCTCTTTCCACCTGGGAAAAGAATTCGCCGGTCACGTTTCTTTTTATGTAAATACTTTTATGCTTTTTTGATTCCTTGTCCGATGGCTCGGCATAAGTATGATCCTGCATTATGAATTACCATACAGTGTAGACATTCAAATTTGCTGTGGCCGTGACAAGCGCCTCTCACTGATCTCCGTTTCAGTTGGTTTCAGTCACGTGACGCTGGCTCTGAATGGAAACACGTTTAGGTAGGCTAGTGCGTTTTGTCCCTCTCTGCTATAGAGTGCCGAAGTTACGACGTCACTGCAGGCCAAAACGCGGAAGTGAGTTAGCATTTTAGCACTCCTGGTTCCCTCGCTCTAAAGTCTATGGGATTTTTGAATGGGTTTTTGCTAAATCGCCTGAAATAAGATCTGTGGTGAACAAAGCCTCTAAATATTTTCACGTTTTTACTCTATGACATAGAACACAGTTATAACCAGCTTGTGGTTTTTTAAACCGTATTGTGTCTGCTTGTGTTTTTTAAAAACTTTATATAGGCTTCAAAATGTATACATTTTGGATTAACTTGTAAAGATTTTCTTGATAGACAAAACGTGTAAGGATCACAACTCTTCGTTAAACACAGATTTTGTGATTTGTGTGATTTTCCAAAAGTCTATGGGGAAAATGCATAGCTTTTCGATCGAGGGAACCCATGCGCCGTTAGCTTCCGAGTTGTCCTACAAAGTGACATCACTCTGTTATAGTTTTACAAGATGGGGGAATGACATGGAAGCCTCCATGGACTTACCCATCCCTAATTAATTAAATTAAAAATAAGAAATTCTTTGCTTACAAGTCAGATCATTGGGAGAGGTAATTTTACACCACTGAGGAAATATTTATGAATAAAGACATTGATTTTAGCTAATAAAATACTTAAACACTACACACTGTACCTTTAAGGTGCAGTCAGTAAGTATTCACCCTAATAGCATCAGTGGTCCATGACATAATTCTCAGTAGAACATTTCAAAACAGAAAAGCTTTTTTATCCGAAGGTCACACTGAATAATTTCACTTTCCCCCAATGTTGCTAATTGGAGTTTGGAATAAGCAACAAGGAATGATAATTGCTTTTTCCTTAATGTCTGTGTGTTTATTTCCCTTCAGCTATGTATCTGACGCTGTTACTGGAATCATCATTATCTCCATCCTTTTTTTCTTTCCATCCCAGCGTCCATCTGTTCGCTGGTGGTTTGATTCAAGAGGTCAGTGGGTGGTTTATCGATTTTCTGTTTTGTCAATAGAGATTGAGCTTGGACTATGAAATTATAAACTTTAAATTGAGGAAACTCAGCAATCAATCAATATTATTAATATTTATATAATACATCATGCCCCTAAGACATAATAGGTTTATATTTGGCTTGAATTTAGTAAGTTGAAACACTGTTTTCTGTTTTTTAGCAGGCACAAACATCATCACTACATTCAGTTATCTCAGTAACTTTCCAGTAGCACAGTTTATTCTGCCAGTCAAAAAGGTTTCAGAAAACGTGTGAGTGTGATTAGTGTTGAATAAGACGAGGAATGTTAATGATTTAGATTAGTGTTTAGAGAGATCCAACAGAGTGCTGTGTTCCGGGAGATTATATTAATCTCACACAAATCTCCCAAGTTATTACATGTCTCTTAAACTTTGTATATTTCTATAGTCTATATTTGGAAAATCAGTTTCCTTGTTTTCAATAATCCACTTTGCAAAACCAATCCATATCTAGTTGCATATTTTAAGTGGCTGGTTGCTTCTAAAACCTAATTGGGTTATTAAAAGTTCTGTAAAAAAAAAAGTTCTGTACATATATGTATTTGTGCAACTTTAAACTGTTTCTGGAGGTGTAACAGCATTGTAAATTGGACATATACATTTGCCAGAGGCTGTTATCCAGAGCAAGTTACTTACATTCAATGTTTGCATTTTATCTTTGCACTGATTTTCTTGTAAACTGAACTGAAAACCATGACCTTGTTATTGCTTGGCCAGTTGAGCAACAGAAAAAAACAACCTGTAGCCTTATTATTGTCTCCAGCTTTGCTGAGATGTCTTCTATGGCTTTGTTCATTTGCCGTCTGAAGTGTGAATTTGTTTTTTGTAACATCATATTTTTTGGCTGAGCACATTCAACATATTCCCTGTTGTGCTGAAATTTAGAGGTTGATTCAGCATAGTACTACTATGCACTTCAAGTTGAGTTCACACCAGATGTAAAACATGAATATTGTGATTTATTATTCTCTGTATAGTAAGAAGTAAATATGCATACTAATACATACTTGTATAAAACCCTCTGTTCGTCATAGGCTGCGCTTTATAATAAAGGCTGTGAAAATTGGCAACCATCAGACATTCTGGAGTCCACATTACCATGTTGAGGATGAGCATAATGTCTTTATTTAATCTGCTGTCAGAAGCTGCAATCAATTTTCTTTCCTTATGCAGTTCAAAAGATGTAATCAAATTCAGAAATCAAACACAGAGGTTTTGAATGTTGAGCAAGTTGTAGAATTTAAGCGTCTTAAAATCAATGTAGTTTTAAACACACACACACACACACACACACACACACACACACATATATATATATATATATATATATATATATATACAGTAAGCATTTCATTTGATCAGTGGCAGAGATCATCAGTCGGCTTGTCTCCTTGTCTCTTTGTCTCCAGCTTCTAATACTCCATATGTGCCCCTGTTGTCATGGAGAAGAGCTCAAGAGTGTGTGCCATGGAATATTATTTTGCTGTTGGGTGGTGGATTTGCAATGGCCAAAGGCTGTGAGGTACCTAATTATATGCTTTTCACTGATTTACAAGCTGGAACATGACATTTAAAAGTTCAAATTGTAATTAACCCATAAAAGGATCTTCTAATGCAGTTGTGTTGTTGATAATTCACTGGAAGGCGATGTTGAAATTAGAACAAATGTAAATATATGAACAAAACAACCTTCTCTTGTCCAAAATAATGAAGACCTTTTTTGGTAATAGGAGTCGGGGTTAGCAGTATGGATAGGAAACCACTTGCATCCTCTCGCCCAGGTCCCTCCCGCAGTCGCAGTAATGCTCATCACAGCCTTCATCGCCTGCTTCACTGAATTTGCCAGTAACACGGCCACCATCATCATCTTTCTCCCTGTCATCGCTGAACTGGTACAGACAAACTTATAGCACAACTTTGTGTTACCAGTTTGTTGCTATGTGTGATTTACACTGTGTATGTACAGTATATATAATATGATTAAAAAAACAGTAAAAACTGAAATATCATAAATTATTAAATGTATTTTCTATTTTAATATATTTTACAATGTAAATTATTCACGTGATGGCGAAACTAAATTTTCAGCATTTTTATTTCAGTCTCCAGTGTGACATGATCCTTCAAATTCATTATAATATACTGATTTCAGCTCAAAACAGTTTATTTATTTTAATGAACAGAGTTTCTAAATGTCTTTACTTTCACTTTTGGTTTAATGCATTCTTGTTAAATAAAAAAAAAATAAATAAATGTAATAAAAAATGTATCTTACTGACCGAAACATATATGCTGCCAAATTGTGATGAATTAGATACTGTACTGTAGTACTGTAGATACTGTACTATTACATTGTGACATTACATCAACCAAATACTTTATTTTCAGGCCATCCATGTGAAAGTCAACCCACTGTACTTCATGATTCCAGCAACGACTGGTTGCTCTTACGCTTTCATGCTTCCAGTGTCCACACCTCCTAACTCAATTGCATTTGCCTCCGGACATCTTATGGTCAAGGATATGGTAAGAAGACAACTACAAAAACACATTAAAATCATTATATCATTATTTACAGATTTTGTTTTCAGTTGCAAAATAAGATATGTGATGTTTACAGGTGAAGACAGGGTTTGTGATGAACATCCTTGGAATTCTGTGCGTGTCTCTTGCCATGAACACATGGGGTCTTCAAATGTTTAATCTACATGTGTACCCTGATTGGGCAAGACCTTTGAATGCATCCTCGGTAACTGTGGCTACACATACTGTATCAGCTATGAATATGACTGGCTAGAGAACAACTACAGAGATGGACACCCTTACAAAAGTAAATATACTTCAAGTTAATTATAATTTATGTAGTAAGTAATATCAATATAGTATACTTGTAAGTGTACTATTTCAATACTACGTGGGACTAAATAGGCCCACTTTTTAGGCCTATATAAAAGTACACTTTTATGTATACTTTGAGTATCAGTAGTAAACTTTGATTACACAACTAGTTCACAAGACAAGAACGTTTTTTGTTTGTACTGCAACTACAAGAACTATCAGATATACTGATAGTTAAAGCAACGTAACATTTTTTACCTTAAAATAATATTTCCAAAATCTTATCAGCGGTTCATCAAGTTGTAACAGGGTGAAAGGCACTTCTGCCATAGCCTGACGGGGTCTGTTTCGCTTTTACTGGCACTACGGAACTCCGGGGTTCGGTTAGTAACCCAACCACAAAAAGAACTACACCATTCGACTGCTTTACGTCAAGCGCTACAATGTCATTTTTCCGTATTTCTTTGTTTCTGATGTCACAATACATAAATACAATAATGTAACATACTCTACCTTGTCTGTGGACATTGTTCATTCCAAAGCCGGTGCTGGATAAACAACGAGCGTGTGTGTGCGACGGTAGGCTGCAGTAGGCTCAATTATTTATGACAGCGCTAATGGACAATTTAGTTTCCAACCAGTAGGGCGACCGCAGAGGAAAAGTTCCATGGTGTTGCTTTAAATATTTTTAGCGCATTTATTTTTTAGTTTATGAAAGTACACTTTGAAGTACACTCTCAGTAAACAAATAGTTTAGTAGTTTTGCACTGCAAGTAAATCTGTAAGTTTTCTTAACATCAAACTTATAGTTTACTATTAATACATTATTTTTGCACTTTAAATATAATATGTCCCTATTTAGGTAATTTTTATACTTGAAATATACTTTACAAATTTAGGTTCTGGGAACGTTAGTTTTTGGTTCCCAGAACGTTCCTAGAACTTTCCCTTAATGTTAAGGGAACGTTCCTGGAACATTCTCTTTACGTTATAAAATGGAACCTAAAAATAACCTACATAGAACGTTCCCATAACATTCTTCTTTGGTTCCCAAAAAAAAAAAATAATTTATGGGACTATTCGGGAACGTTAGGGGAACGTTCTGTGTTTGCTGAGTAACAAAAAGTAAATTTGTACGTTCACTACCAGTAGGCTGCACAAAAATTCACATACTCAGAATCAGGAACACATCTATTTTTTTTACAAATCAATATTTTCAAACAATGTAAGTTTATAAGACAGTATGTAAAACTACGTGGAACAATAATATATATAGTATAGTATTTACTCTTCAATCAAAAGAGTAAACAACTACAAGGTATACTTAGAATACTTCATTAAACTATTAAGTAAATCTCAATCAAAAGATTGAGAACAAGTATAGGTCAAATATACTTAGACATTTCTGTGAGGATAAGTTAAATACTTTAGTTCTGAGAATCTTATTTTTAGTTTAAAAATATTGTATACTAAGAAGTATAGATAAACCCACAACTTAAAGAGAAATAGAAACAGAGAAGTATACTAATAGAATTAAGAAGTATACTAATAGTACACTTGAATAAACTTTTCTTTTGTAAGGGCATCCATGCATATCCAGTCCAGATTCTGTGTATAGATATAAGACTAAAAAGAAGTGGAAAAATTGCTTAACTGAGGGATTCCCACAGTGGATGGATCAACACTATCACAACCTCACTTCCTGCTCAGCACTGCTCTCTTGTGCCTTGACGCCACTTCACCAATTAGGGGCAGGACATTTAAAAATGTTTTCAAATATATCATTATTTATATATGTAGTTTTAAACTGTTAGGAAGGATGTTTGAAATTCATCATGTTCTCAATGAAAATCTCAACATTTTTATTAATTATCTGTTTTAGATTGTAAGTATGTTGTATTAATGTCAAATGTGTTCATGTAAATTTTATTGTATTTATGTTAAAGTATTCAAGTAATTAATTATGTGTCATTTCTATGTTAAATGTTTATAATCTTGCGTTCATCATCCATAAATCCTAATTAAAGTTCGGATCCAACAAAATGATGTAGTTGTTGACAAAAACAAGCATTTTACAGACTTAACATTCAAATCCATAGAAAAAACATATGAAAATTGCCAGAACATATACAAAATATATTGGGATTGTGGGACCAACCAAAAAGCCTTTTTAAAACACTGTATGAGAACACAGTTTTAATACACGATACATGAAAACAACAAGCACAGCACTTGCAGACTTCCCTTTTAAACTTTTGTTTTTATATATCTTCCTTTTAAGGTTTATTAAAAGAGCAGATTAGTTGTTTCTTCATGTCATGTGATGATAGCGGCTTTGCGTTGTGACCTGTGTTTGGGTCTCATGTGAATCTGAGCAACTGTATGAGTCAGTGTACATGTGTGTTCAGCATCCAGCTCAGAGTCATAGGATTGGGTGTACACTATATATATGGGTGTATTTGGTGCCAAGCTCAATATGAGCTGACCAGTTTTGCTTTGAAGATGACCGACCTTTTAATGTTTAGAGAAATCCATGATCTTCTTCAAGCCCCATTTTAATCGACAATAACGATGCCCTTCTCTTTTTCCCTCAGGTATGTCAATATTTTCTGTCAGACTTTATATTACAGTGTGTATATAGTATTATCACACAACATTTAGTTACATACATGTAGTAGGTGTTGATTTTGCTATAGCAATTTATTACAATACCGTGTAACATGTAGTGCTGTGAAATGAATTATTAAAGTTGCTACTTATTTGGCTTTATTTTTGAATTTTTATTTAGATGTACAGCTATTCTATGTACAGTTTTCTTTCTAAATACCACTCCATCGGCACCATTTTCCCTTTGTCTAATTTTTTATGTGTTTGTGTGTGTTAGAGCCTCTGCGAAGAGGGTTATGGAGATGCTCTGGTTGTGCTACTCTTCTCCAACCCCTCAGAGTTCAGGTCATCTGCTCGCTCTACTGGTTCTCTGTCTCGTAATGGCTGCTGTGACCGCCTCACTACTTTTCCACTGGCTCACAGACCTTTTGAAATATGACATCCAGATGGCATTTGTTGCAGTTGGTATCTACGCCACAGCTGTGTTTATCCTGTCATCTCTTATCCATCCGTTCCGATGTGCCTTCACACTGATCTTCCCGACACTGTTTACTCGACAGGGCCGTAAACTGCTCTTGTCCGCATCTGTGATGATTGTGGTGCTCTACGTTCTACCCAACATGGCTGCCAACATTGCAACTTTAACACATGTTGTGAAATGTGCGTCAGAAAAACTCTCTCAAAGTATTTTAAGCAGCTCAGAGCTCATCAACACCATCAAGAACGATTTAGTCAGAAGCGCAGAGCAAGAGGAAAGCAGTTTGACACTACGCGATTTCGATCACACCACAAATATTAATGTCTCAGAAGTGAAGGGACGGTTGTATTTCTTGAGTCAGCGAGTGCAGGAGGATTTTTCTGAAGTTAAAAGTCAAGTACAGGATCTGAAGCTGCTATTCAGCAGAATCTTTGCAGCTGTTTTTGTTCTGTATTTGTTGACAGAGTCTGTCATGTACCTTCGCTCTTATTTGACGTCTGTAAGATTTGACAACACGTATATCACAGGCGGGCTTAGGAGGAAAGCAGTCGAAAAAGGGATCGCGGTTGAAGCAAAGGATGTGAAAAATGGAGTAAACTCCACCAGTTTCAGAATAACGAAAAGGGAACTTTTCAAATGTCTGGTTCCTGCCCTGGGGATCACTCTGTATCTGTTAATGACAATCTTTTTGATAGTGCTGGACCATTTCTTGTATCACTTGGTGAAATCAGGTGGTCCTTGGATTTCAAACATGCCATCCACCAACATCAGCATCAACGTCAACTTCAAGGTAATCCACTCCGTCAGTTTCTCCTTAAAATACGGATCTACTGATTAAAAAATAAAAATGCATTGCTTTTCAATTTCTACCATTGTATATTTGCAAAAAGTAATGAAGTACTTATGTGTAAAGTCAATATTGTGCATCATTACTTAACTTATCGCATTCAGATATCCAGGCTCCTGCTCCAAATACATATTTTAAGATCTCTTACATATATAGAGCTTTAGAAGATTTGAGCTTCTGTCATGTTTATTAGTAATTATTAATTATTATTATTATTCATAAACATCTTACATGTAATTTAGAAGCTAAATACGAATTCCATTTACAATAAACTATCTCAAAATTCATTGCCCGACACAAGCCTACGTTTTGTAAAATGTATGGCTAATGAATAACCTCATTCACAGGCTACATACAGTTAGTTTAAAGCTACACTGTGTAACTCTTTTATTTTATTCTTAGCTAAAAACACTTGGTTCTTTCAAAAATAGATGTGCTCATTAATGTATATTTACTTCGTTCAAGTAATAATGTATTATCGTGAGTGTATAATATGCCCTTGAAAATACATACGGGTAAGGGGTTCTAATGTCGGTCGCCATGTTGCCCCTCCATCTTGAAAGTACATTAGCCAAAGAGGGACATATCCGTTAATTCAAGCTTCGCCTTTCGCGTTTACGTTTGAGTTAACACTCATGGACGAGGTCGAACTGGAAGCCATGTTAATCTTGGACAGCATTGTCCACCGTAGGAGTTAAAGCGAAATTGGAATTGAGAGGAACAGAAACTAATATACCTTTTCACTGCTACTGTAGATGGGGGTAAAAATCACACAGTGTAGCTTTAAGGGGTGAGCCTTCATATTTTTCATAGAAATCAGGTTTCAGTAAGAATCACATTGTATGAATCCCCACAAAATGATTTTAATCTAGTAAAGGGAAGTAGGCCTACACGTCTCCCACAATAAAGAAAGTAAATAGTCACTGTTCACTATTGTGAAAAACAATAACCCTTCTTTCTTCTCTTCCCCTTTATTTCTAATCATCTCAGGTTGAAACAAAGGTGGACCTTTGTCATCTCTTTAACTCAAACTGTCTGGTAGAATCTGTCAACTTCAACAGACTTTACGCAGCCCTCATTCACTCTGATCCAAACGTGTGTGAGGCCCAATCCAGTAAGCTGAACCCAAGTGTAGTGATGGCGCTGGTGTTCCTCTATCTGTTCAGCTACACCCTGCTGCCGCTGGAGGTTTACGCTCGACGCCTTCGGAGGAAAGTAGCAGCTTCTTTTTTCAGGCAGCAGGAGGAGAGAAGGGTTGAATTCCTTCTGAAGAAAATTCTAAGTAAACAAAAAGAAAGACAAAATGTTTTCTTTATAGAAACCAAACCTCAAGATGAATATGTCTCTGGGATGACAGATCAGTCACATAAATAATAGGTATAGCCTGTTTCGTACATACTGTATATCATGTTAATAAATGTACATATTCACATTTGCAAATCAAATATTTTGTTGAAATATTTTGCCTATACTACAAAATAGGCTATTAAAGTTGCATTTTTATATTTTATGGAAACTTGCTTTATTCATTATTAATTATTTATCTGTGCACATCATTATTTTCTTTTTTAAATATGCATATTCTTTAATCAAAATAATTCCCCTGCCTCTTCCAACAACATATCTTTTCTTCTGGCATGAGGGTGGGAAGTGGGATAACCTGTCACACATCAGACAACACATTCCAGCCCATTCTCACCCCAAGGCGTCACCTTTGACCATGCTTCAATATTAACGTTTTAGGCGCCCTTTAGCGTCACTTACATGACGCGATCCTACGGCGTCATCTAACTGACGCTAAAGGAAAGCGTCAGTTAGAGGACGCGGTTAGGTTTAGGTGTGGGGTGGGGGTAGGGTACACGCGATCCTAGGGCGTCATCTAACTGACGCTAAAGGGCGCCTAAAGCGTCAGATATTGAAGCATGTCCAAATGCTTCCCAAGGCGTCAGTCAAGTGACGCCTTGGGGGTGAGAACAACCATCCAATAGAGTGGTGCAGCTTTCTATGATGTAAGCCAAAACACGGAGACAAGTTAACATTGTAGAACTTCCCGTTCCATCATCCCGACGTCAATTGATTTTTAAATGTGGTTGAAATAAGGTCTGTGGTTAACACAAGCTCAAGATACTTTTTTGTTTTACTCTACATAAAGTAAATCAGTATTCTCCCATTAATGATTTTTACAACATAAAGTAAATCAGTATTCTCCCATTAATGATTTTTTAAGCTGCTATGTGTCTTGAAAAAAGGTGGTTGCTAACAAATGGCTAAATAAGACAACAGAGACTATTGCTAGGTTAGCGCAGTCTGCATTTACAGCCTCATTATGCTTATAATCATGGTCTTATAAACTACAAAAACCTTTTGGGAAAACATTTTTTAGATAAAAACTGAAAGAGTTGTTTGAAGCTTGGTGTTGTAATTTGTTTACAGCCTTTAGCTTTAATTACTTCTGGTGATTGCATTTAGTCTTCAAAATTCATAAAAGTAGTGTTTATCTGTGAAAATTGTCTTGATGAACAAAGTGTGTAAGCTTTTGAGAGCTTGCTTTTTGAGATAATCCAAAATGGAAAATTCTAATTGGGTTTTTTGTTGAGAGGACCAGTGAATTGTTGATACACAACATTCGACTTTTAACATCACACATCTCGTACAAAAGGTCTGCAGTTGTCCCTTCATTAGTGATTATCTGATCTAAAGGGGACTGTCCATCTTGTTCCAGTGAAATGGCCAAGGCACACTCTATACATTTAAAGGGCTTCTCCTTCTTACTGTTGTGTGTGACAGCTGACTGCCTCACAATACAATTAAAGTCATTCACAGTAATGGGGTGGAAGCTCTTGTAAAGAGTGAACGTAATTTGTCATCCTCTCCAGCACCATTTTCACATACAGTAGTTATCACCAATAGCAAAAACGGCTGCGCCGCACCGGATGTAACTGAGCCGGCTTAGAAGAAACATGGACGCAATTGTGCATAGAGTCTATTCACACAGTCAGTTCAAATCTGATTATTTGTATATCCATTTGAAATATAATCTAAAATTGACTGGTGTCGACTATAGCAAGTGTTCCAATCCGATTTGTGTGTCCATGCTGCTTTGCATTTTCCAGAACATCATCCCTTGTTTTCTATGGCAATGGCGTTGAGTTGGTAGGTACGCTCAAAAACAATAATAGCAATCGCAACTTGGAGGGGTTTGCAATAGAGATGTTGTCTTATTTACCACATGACAATGTGTTGGCATGGTGGAGTACTGCATCTTCTGAGGCAGCGGCAGGAACATGGATGCTGGTATGAGCAGCATTATTGTCATCTCTGCCGATTTAAAAACATGTCCCTGTTAATATATTGTTTTTTTTTTCTGCTCATCCAGCACTTGCAACAACAAAACCTTGCTTCTGCAGTGAGTTGCAGCATGTTTCCTATAACAGCATCTGACGTTTTACTGTAAGTCTGATGTGAGAAGGAGGAACTTCTATGAAATGTATGTTGTTTATACACCTGGTATAAACTTATCCAAGTGCAGGAGCGAGGCACTCTAGAAAACAGGTGGGCAAGGACCTCCGACCTCTGAGGGGCAATTCTAGGAATTTATAAATGTGGGGGCACAGGGGTTGTCCAAGAACCAGTCAGGGGGGGCCCATGGGAAATCAGAAAATTCAACTGGAAATAAATACTTGTTTAGAAAATATTAAGCACGATTTAAAAAATCTTTGCAATTCCCAGTGCCCCAATGGTCCCCCAAATGGAATTAAATGTGGCACTAAACAAGAGCCTGCATGGGAATATTTTGAACCACACAGTTTTGTGAAAAAACATCACTAGGCATTAAACATCAACATAAAAAAAAAAAAAAAACATCACTAGGCATTAATTAGTCATTTAACATAGTCCTCTCAACACAGTCATCTTTATAGTGCTTTGTGTAAACGGGCCTTAAGTGTCAAGGTGTCAACATCACAAATTTTCATTCCTTTTTCTGTTGTTTTTCTTGTTTGGAGCCTGACAAAATGGGAAAATAAATATCGCTCTTTGTCTAAATGTCTGATGGAAATTTCAAGGTGATCACAAATTCAAGCCCTTGTACAGTACATTTGAGGAGGTGGACTAGCCATAAAGATTTATGGCTACACTGGCTGCCACTTTAACTGGATTTTTTAAAACTGTTTATTCAAGTCCATCAAAGAGTGCATGAGGGGAAGGAAGGAATACACTTACTTTGTTCCTTTATCCAACTACATAGGGGGCTAACTTCAGTGGTCACTTTAAACTCAGCATTATTCCGCACGGCACACTTTTAAAGCTCAGCAGTACCTGTCTCATAGCAACTGCCTCTTTGTGTACACATCACCATGACATTTTAAAGCTTATTCATACCATATTCAAGGTAAGAAAGTTCATTTAGTCAAAGAAACTACAAAAATAAAATCAAAGGCAGTTTTTTAAAAAGGTAATTTAATATTAAAATGTTTGGGAGAAAAGCCAGCGAGAGCCCTTTAATGTCAGATATCGAAACGGATGATAATGGAAATGTGTATCATCTCAGAGAAGACCAAAAACAAGAAATGAAAGGCAGAAAAGAAAAAAGGCTTCTAGAGAAGATGGTGATTATGAGGATGAGGTCCATTAGGAAGAGGAGATTAATGAAGCCATTTCTGATTTACAAAGCTGGTTTAATCCATCTTAAAAATTAAGAGGCGACCAAAATCAGATTGTAAAACGGACTGAATAAAGCTCTTTACGAACTTGACGTACGATGTCATAACTGACATGCATGTGGATGAATCACTGTCAGACGCACAAGCTCAGACCAATATTGTAAGCTACTGTATGCATTAACTAGCAGAATAATAATGCATCACAATACACATAGTTGACTATGCAATTACTAACAACGCGAGAATCTCCACTTTTAGATGTAACCACTAGCATATGATGACTTCCAAGTTGATCATTTTGGTGATAGTTTTAACTAGTGACTTACTGAGCTCTTTAAGCATTACAACATCCATACCAAATATATCCTTTAAACTGGATGGTTTAAGAGATGTTGTTGAATATTGGTGACCTTGAATGTGCTCTTATTATGACTGTTGACTAAGGGAGAGTGAGTCTAAGGGGTGTGGTTCGTTCATTATATTCTTCAAGTGCTGCAATTTAATAAATGACTGCATGCTCATTGCTCCTGTGTGTGTGTGTGCACGACAGTCAAACGAAACCTGATGGCTATGTGAGTTTATTCCTCTGTCATGTTTTAGCCGGTTTTCTACCCTTTATGTTATGATGGCAAACTCAACAGATGTAATGTTCAAAAAAATGTCTAATTCTAATGTCTAAAGATTCTTTATTGAGAAACACAAGCTGTTGGTAGCTGCAGTCAAGTCAAGTCTAACTAAGGGAACTTTACATTGCAGTTGATTTATGTTTTTAAATCAATATAGAGGTGGAGACACTCTGAAACAGAGCATGTAGATGAGAGACACGAGAACCGGATGGGCAGAGCTTCCCGTACTGAGACAGGAACCCCAAGACACCTTTAACTGTACAAACTGCTTTATGTGTGCGTTTATCAAAGAAATCAATATTATTCACTCAACTTTGGATATAAATTAATAGAAATAGAAATTATCTTTCAACCACCGTAAACAAATGTCCTAAAAGAAATAAGAATACACACACACACACACACACACACACACACACAAAAAAACAAAACATTTACCAAGACATCGGTAAAGCTTTTTTTCTTGCTGAGAGTGCTTGAAAACAGATACAGAACTCACTTAGCTTGACAGGTAACTAGGGTGGGAACCAGGCACTTCACGTTTCAATTCGATTATGATTCAGAGGGCTGCGATTCGATCCTAAAGTGATTAGTGATTATCTGAATCTTTTTTTATTGTGTGTGTGACTATATACTCTGCTTTAAAAGTACAAAGTAATGACCCATAAAAAATTAACGTACAATATATTTTATTAACATTGAAGAACCAACAGGAAAATAAATGTGTGCTTGAACTAGCAGCATGTTGTGAGAAATGTGTGTGATCTGTAGCCTATTATGTACTGGTGTATGCTTTGAACTAATTGCCACTTGTGGGATTAATAAAGTTGATAAAAAAGTAAAGTAAATAGTCTCACATTTAGTTCGGGAACAACCGGCTTGCGAATGATTCGTCATTAAAGTGATGAGAACACAAGGTTCGGGCTATTTTGTTGTGGTATCGTTACTAATATGAACTCTGACCACTGATTCTTCACATGCTCGTCCATGGACAATGGAAACAAGTGGCTGAACTTTGCAATGTAGAACACGGCGTCTTCTCGACATGATGCGATTCAGCTGAAGTATTTGAATGTGTTCTAGACGTCACTACAAGTCTGCGTGCGACAAGTCTGCGTGCGTAGTTGTTGGGAGCTGCCAATGACCTGTCTACATCACGATGTAACAGCTAATGACTCGTTTCAAAAACAATCCATTTCATAGACTCAGAGTCGACTCTCAATTTTGAAAGACAATAACTTTATATACGGTGCTCTTTCAGATATAAATCTTTGCAGGATGTTTTCATTCCCTTAGAGCTATATTCCCAGCCCATTCTCACTCCCAAGGCGTCACCTAACTGACGCCTTGGGAAGCATTTGGACATGCTTCAATATCTGACGCTTTAGGCGCCCTTTAGCGTCAGTTAGATGACGCCGTAGGATCGCGTCATGTAAGTGACGCTAAAGGGCGCCTAAAACGTCAAATATTGAAGCATGGTCAAAGGTGACGCCTTGGGGTGAGAATGCGTTGATATTCCACACTACATGAACAGTCATTTTCAAAAATCCATGATAGGTGCTCTTTAAAGTCGAAATGTGTCGAGATCAAAGTCGAAATAAAGTCGAAATATTTTGAGATTAAAGTAAAAAAAAATATTCAAGATTAAAGTCAAAAAATTTCGAGATTAAATTCGAAACTTTTTTTTTTAAGTTGCGGTTCAGGGCTTCTATATGTTATAGTATTTTATACAAAATTCTATCTGACAATGTAAAAAAAAAACTAGGCTATACATGTCCTAATTATACATCAATCATGTAGTGATTCAACGGTTTTGTCTTTTAAAAATAACTTACAAATTGCAGTTTTTATTGTTTCTGAGATATCCGCAACCCACTTCCATTTCCTCAAACGATACACCCCATCATACATCATCAGAAATGCATTAAATAAAAAAAAAGAACGTTATTGGAATTCTTTTATGTGATGATGAATGGACACAGAGAGGGAAGAGCTTGTTATTATGCACATAACAGTGTGTAATTTAATGAATCAGCCCTCAGGGTCAGACACGCAGAAGGTGTCTTGATTCAGATGGGGTTTATTAGTGCTAGTGAGTGACAGGCAGTGACGCAGACTGATGATGAAACCATCATGAATTCAGAAATATATTCAACATTTTGAGATTTATTCACAGTATTTCATGACGCTAATGTCTACCATATTTATTTATATGGATCTCATGGATCTAGGCTATATAATATCCTTTCCTGGATGCATAAGCCTTTCCACTACACACTTACAGTACACATTGTAGGATTACGCATCTTACTCAGAACAATGATTAGTCAAGTCAAGTCAAATATATTTATATAGCGCTTTTCACAATACAGATTGTATCAAAGCTGCTTCACAGAAGGCCTATCAATCAAGACAACTAAACAGTGTTTGTTTATTCATGAAAAAAGACAACCAAATTTGGTAGAGCTGATCAATGGTATGATGGGTAATTTAATTTGAATGGTATGATGGGTCATTTCATTTGATGAGTTCCTTTAGGCCTATAAGAATTAAAATCACATTTATTTCCCACAGGCCTACAGTGACTAAGCCCGTCATTCTGCCTAACAAATTATGAGTGACCTTTATTTTTTGGCTGCAGTATTCCTTTAAGGCTGTTATAAATAAATAGCCAGTGAAGCCACAAATGAAAAACATTAGCAGCTTCTAACATAACTTTACTTTTCCATTGTGGCAACAGGGACACCGCGTGGAATTCAAAAGAATTGCGGCTATACGGGAATTTTAGCTCTGTGACGTTGGGTATGAAAGGATAAACATCATTTGTTGTTGTAGGCTAGCCTACAGTACGTTGAAAAACTGGGTGTGATTTCACCATAGACTGTACAAGGAATTTAACTCGTGCACTTTTGTATTTCCGGATTCGACCAGCCAACGAATGTTACAGTAGCCTATATCTTGCCCGTAGACTAGCCTAGACTATTTAGTGGACCATATTAATTATAGGCTATTAAAAAGATATATCTAGGCAATAGGCTACTAGTTTTACCGATTCATTATTACTACATAATTAAATTCACGCGACATAATTTTTATGCAATCAATATTAGCATAGGACTACAATAAAACGTGCCAGAGTATACTATATGCATAATACAAATTGAATAATAATAATAATAATAATAAAAAAACTGATGATATTTCTGTAATTCGTTCCCTATCCCAGGGCTTATTTTTTTTATTAAACATAAATATACAGAATGACAATAGCCTATATTAAGCCAGGGTGCCATATATATATATATATATATATATATATATATATATATATATATATATATATATATAATAAAAACCCATCAGAATCGTCATCAAGGTATATATAACCAAGAATAACATTTTCATATTTCAACGAGATTTCAGGAATTATAGGCTACGACAAAAAAAATTAATTGTTTTTCCATTGATTCATTGAACTCACAATCCTAAAACAGATGAGACAAGTCTTTCAACAGGCTAACATCAAAGTTGTCAGAAATAAACCTTTGTAAAAACGTTTTGTAGGACAGCACCGATGTATCAATTTTATAACACACTTCTTTTGTTGTATTATATTGTATATAATATCCCAGCAGGGCCACTGCACCTGTGTGCCGTCTTTAAATGACGCTCACGCAGGTATCTTGCGTCACGCGCAGACGCAGAAACGCGGAAGCAGCATTCCACGTCACTTGAGGTGGATTTAGCGCGAGCGAGCGAGGAATCTGACAGGAGAATTTAGCGCTTGCTTTGACTTTAAACTCGCCGGATGTGATGCCACGAGCATTTAGGCTTTACGCTCAAACTGACAGCGAACGGAATATCTGCGGGTTGTAAACGGAGGATTCAAGGTAACTTAATGTTTGTGTGCGGAGCTGTACTGCGGTCAGAGCTCTTGCTGCTGCAGGCGGCTGCTGAATGTCGCTGTTTTATTGGTTATTCAATGTTTCCTGACGCTGTGTCCATCAGTGAGGATGATATTTATAATAATAATAGGTCTGTAATTCGCAATTGCTGAGTCTAAAGCGTAATTACCTAAATAGAAAGCATTTTTGGATCCATGGAAGTGCTAATATTCCCAAATATGATGGACGCGCTGAAAATGCTGTCAGCTCGCATCAGCTTGTTGTGTAGGTTATGGGCCCTTTTTGCTTCGATTCACTGAGCATCGCACTTCATGGACATTCTTGCTTTTTTGCATCGTTTCTCAGATTTTATTTCAGTTAAACTAACGTTACTTCTTCTTTTTTTTTTGCTAGTGTATAACGCTTCTAAATGGCAAAAACATGCACCTTTCTTCACACAGCCTTGATTATTATAGATTTTGTGTCATTATTATTATTATTATAATTATAATTTTTTAATTACATAATTCATTTCACTGAATTGGCCTGTTGTTTATTAAATTACATTGCCATTGTCATGATTATTTAGTTAAACATATTAAGTGTGCTCTAGTCATTGTCATTACCCCCATTAAAACACATCAGGTCAATCAAGCTAAGTAATGCTGTCAAGGGTGTATCTCCAACCGTCACTACTGTATTATGGGGTGTGTAGGCCTACATGTTTTGTAAATTTGTCAGAGGGAACACCTTTACTTTAACTTTACTGTGATTGTCAGTATAAGACAATACTGGCAGTGGGTCAGCACAGTGTGCTTAATGTGCTGAAATTAATTGTGCTCAGCAAACAGTAATGCAGCTCTTCTGGATTTTTCCCTTGTGAATCTAAATCTTTGTGTCTAAGGTGGGAAATTTTTGCCTACCAGTCAGATACAGTGAATGCAGACCTAGATAGCAAGGTGACATTGATTCAATGTCGCAATTCCATCAGAATCATCATTTTGGTTGAGGTTGAAAATTCAATCCTAAATAATAGCTGGGGAGTTTTACCAGCCATTCACTTGTAAAATTAACCAATGAACTGATATAGTATTTTAATCCAAGTTTGAGGAACGAAAAGTGACACTGGTGGCTGACCTTATACATGGATGCTGACCTATTTTTCATGATGGGTCTGTGTCCGCTGTTGTAGCCTTTTGCCCTAAAATACAATAATAAAACAAGAACAGTGATTAACAAAACAATGTTTTCTCACTTTTCTTTTTTTAACCTTTTTGTTTGAGACATTTTAAATAATAATTTGAAATTATCTGGAATTGTGAAAAAGTCAAAATCAAGTGAACCTGGGGTGTGTTTTGATTTCCAATTGTAGTCATTTGATATACAGTAGTTTTTTAAAAATGGTGATATCTTATACAGTGCAGGGTGACCGACATACAGTACACTTCTTTGCAGTTAAGACAAAATTCTGCTCTGACAAAAATTTGGTTATTCTCAGCAGTACTAAAAATCATGCCCTTTGCCAACTTTGCCTGAGCATGTTCATCAATCTATAAACAAATTGGTTGGTTCATCAAGAACTAGTTTTTGAACAAAATTCTTGTCAAATAAAACATGTTGCGTACTTTACATTTACTTTTATTCATTAGGACAACAATACGTAACTGCTATAACCCCTCAGTTTAAATTTAGTGCAGTTTTTTTTTTAAAATAGAATAGAATAGAAGAGAAGGTGTTAGTACTACTGAATCAAGCGCTGCCGAAAAAGATACGTCTTCAGCTTTTTCTTGAAAATGGCTATTGATTCAGAAGCTCTGGTTGAGTTAGGCAGATCATTCCACCAGCAGGGAACAGTCTCAGAGAAAGAGATTTTGTGCCTCTTTGAGATGGTACCACAAGATGACATTCGACACACTTTAGTGGCTGCCTGCTTGGTAAAGAATCCAAAATTACCTAAATTATTTAACTGGTGGTATTTTCCTGATTCCTGATTTTGTTTGTTTATTCAGGCCATCATGCTAATGCTGATTGTCTTTTTTTCTTGTCTGCAGAGTGTCTGATTTGGAGCTCGATCTACATGGGCGAATCAGGGTCACGGCGCTCCACCCTGGTCTCCAGGCTTCCCATCTTCAGACGTAGTGTGGGAAAGAGACAGGACTCGCTCCCGTCCTCGCCCTCCTCCGGTGGTGTCGGCAATGGCGTCCACACTTCCTCTCCCTCCAGCACAAACTCCAGCTCCAGCAGCACAGGCAAACGGCGCAGCCTCTTCCGTACTCCGTCACTCAGCTTCCACAGCAAAAGGCACAGCGACCCGACCCAGCTCAGCCTGGACAATAGCAGCCAGTCTGAAGTCATCTTTCGAGAGAGTTGCATCTCAAAGACACGGCATTCGTTCGGATTCGGCGGACACAAGAAGAAGATCTCCCGATCTCAGACGGAAAACCTTGAGAAAACGACGGCCAACCGCAGTGTGTTCATTAACTGCATCAGCTCACGGACGAATGAGGGAGATGATTCAGGGTTCCTCGATGAGGTGAGCAGCAAGAGGTCTTCTAAGCATAAGAAGATGCTGCCCAAGTCCTTCTCAGCTCACCAACGATTTTCCAAGAACTCTTCCAATATTCTGGGTCAGGAGAGTACAGAAGATCCTCCTAAGACTGGAACCCCAGGCTCCTGGCCTGGAGAATTGGCTGAGAGTTCTCTACAGTCTCCCATGATCTCAGAAGACCGCACCACAGCAATTACGCCATCAGATTTTGTTCACGCCACCGAAGACTCTGTCTCGGAAGTGGACGCTTTGCCGGCTCCCAGTCCAGCTGCTCCACACGAAAACTTTAGCCAAGCTGTTTCTACCTCGCAGGTGTCCATCACCCCAGCCCAGGCCACCACAGAAAAGCCCTTACTGCCAGATACCAGCCACACAGCCAACACACAGTGCGAGAGCACAACTGCCCGTACGGAAGCAGTAACGCTGCAAACAGTGAGCGAGCTGACCCCAAACACTTATCCTAATGCAAACGCTAACTCTGACCTGTCAGAGGCCAGTGAGATTGAACAAGCTCCAGAATTGAGTGAGGAAAGTAGTTCCAATCCAGACACCCGTGAGAGGAGGTCCAGGAACGCTGTTCTCATCCAGCAAGCAGGAAGGTTATCAGGCCTCAGCAAACTGGAGACCAGGCCAAGCCACCTAAGAAAGCCACACACAGGTAATGTCAGTGAAGCTATTTTCTGTTTTAAGAATGATGTTTTGAGGGAAATTATTCACATGCTTGTTCCTAGTAATGTCCTCTGAGCTTCCTAGATGGAAGATTCCTTCCTAGATTCCTCTACTGGTTTTACAAAGATCATGAAGCGCTCATCTGATGTACACTTGAATATCTCATGAGGCCATGGGCGTTGAAGAGCTGCCGGCTTAATTTGAAAATAAAAAATGACTGAAAAGCATAAGGGTAGGATACTACTGGTAGCCAAACGGTTATTCCCTGTGGTTTAATTGGTTGTCAAAACAACAACCAAATTAATTGTCTTCATGATTGTTGGTAGCACATCATAGGGCAAAGTGACATGATCAGCGATCTTCACATTTTCCTGCGTATACATGGCTACTTCCCAAATAAATTTAAAAATGGGCCTGAAATATTGTTGTGACTTGAAATGTATTTATTATAAGAAAAGGGACCACAGAGAAATGAGATGAATGAATCTAGCACAACTGTAGAAATTCAGTTGTTGTCAATACATTGTTTCAGTGTATATATATATATATATATATATATATATATGTTAATATGAGGCTATATAAAAAATGCCATGATTGGCCAATCAGAATGTAGTATTCCATAGAGCTGTGTAATATGCTATTTGAGATGTCTGTTAGTGCTGAGAAATATAAACATCAGGGCCCATATTCACAAAGAATTTTATCTTACCACTAGGAGTACTCCTAAATCGCGCTAAAATATTTTAGCTTGGAGTCTCTTAAAAGTTATTCACAACGCCTGTTGGACCTACTCTTAGTAAGGAAAAATGACAACTCCTAAACTAAGAGTGAGTCTTTGTTGCGTATTATAACATGTAGCCTTGAACTGAATGTGTAACTGATCAGTTCTAAGAATTAGGCCTACTGAAAGCTCAAAGTAAAAACTGGGAAATCACCCCTTCCTATAACAATGTTGTATTACAGTATGCTTCAGTTTGGCTGCATTTTTCTTATGACCCATGTTTTCCCTTTTTCATAAACTATAATTTTACGTTGCGAGTGATTTCACTCCAGAGTACTTGTGGCTTAGAAGGTTTATGGGAAACTAACCAGCTCCACAATATTGAATTTCCTCTTGGTGACTTGATATTGGCTTTACTACGTATCCTCTTGCGGGAGAGAGTGAACTCTACACTCTGTGTTCATTTACAATTATTGGCTTGGGGTGATTCATTATTATTCATGTCAATGATTAAGCTATTTTTAAGGATATTAAGATGTTTTATTCATACTCTCGTATCTTTATATAGGCGGAAAGATGTCTGGATGCAGTTAAATCTGTTTACCATGTTGGACAGCAGAATATTTTGGTTCTTGGTTTAATTTGCTTGAAATTTTAGTTTGTGTTTTGCATTTTGTTTCTTTGTGAATATATTTACAGTAATCAGAATTATTGGGTGTTTTCTGCAGCTTTTCTTGTGACTCTGTAGGTTTTAGGGCTTTTTAACTGAATATCACTGTATTTTCTTTGCCTTGTCCTTGTGTATTTGTGTCAATATGATCCAGGCTTTTAATTGTTTGATACTGTACTAAAACAAAACTATTGATGTTTTGCTGAACTGTTTCGCCTATCCGTGTTTTGCGTTTGATATCTCGAAAGAATTAAATTAATTTTATGCAAATCTGGTGTAGTAGGTAGGTGAATTGTAGTTTGTGCCTCAGGCTTAACAGTTTTTTCATCTTTGCTAGATGCATTACACATTCTTCAGATTGTGACCTACTACCTACAAATTGAGGTCTGTCTCTGTACACAACAAGATACTGAAGACATTTTAATAATTTAGAGGAAACATGGCAACAGTAGTATTATTTTTTCCCCACTGGACTTGCAACTTTATTGCAACAGGATTAGAGACTTCTATCATAAACAAAAAAAATCTTAGCAACCAATTTTTAGAAAAATGCAGTGCGTGTGTATGCATGCATGCATGTATGTATGTGTGTATGTGTATATATATATATATATATATATATTCATAGAAATATATATTCACATATATATATATATATATATATATTATTTAATGTGTGTATGCATGCATGTGTGTGTGTGTGTGTGTGTGTATATATATGCATGCATACACACTGCATTTAAAAAAAATAGTTAGTCTCTAATCCTGTTGCAATAAAGTTGCATTTATTTGATTTTAAAATACATTAAAAACTTTAATATTGTGAAATTATATCATTACAATTAAAAATTAATTTTCTGTTTTAATATATTTTACTGAGTCTTCTGCAGCCATTACTCCAGTCTGTCTGTCACATGATCCAAATAATTGTCTAATTTCATTCGCTCTACATACGTCATCTGGTATAATTGAAACGATTGGCTATGAGCTTACGTACAGGTGCATTTGATAGACATTCGTAGCACCCATACGTAGACTGTAAAAAAAAAAATTTGGACGTTGTGTCCGTGACGTCACCCGTAGGTTTCTGAAGATTGTTTTTGGAGCCTAGTTGGCGGGGTCCATGATGTCTAATTTTGTGTTGCCAATTCAACTCATGCCCTGTGTGTTCCATATCAAGTAAACATTGACTATTTTGCTTTGTGAACAAGACAGCTGGTCTTCCTGTTTACTGAACCCCCACTAATACTAATTGTATCCCCTGACCTGTGGTTTATTTAAATTTTTGGAGCGGAAGATCAGACTCCGGTCACCTGTCTAGTCTGCGGGGTTGTGGTGCTTACTAAACCCGCATCTTACTTTCCAAATTCCTTGTGTGGGTCTGACAGGAAGCTGTGGTGGATCTGCTTTGTCAGTTCCGCATGTAGTAGTTTAATGTTTGAATTGTTATCTGTGATTCAAAAATCCATGTTTCAAGATATATGCTGATGCATCGTCATCGTAATTGTTCCGTTTTATACGTGTTTGTTGTTGTGCTTATGTTTTTCCCTCCCTCTCTTGTATGCTTTCTATTTGCTCTCAGGTTCCTGTGATAGGCCGTGTCAGCTGTCCATCATCAGGGCGGTTTTTTCGGCTTCCAATTTGCTGTCGCCCCGTTGTTTTAAAAGTCTTCCCACGCGTCTCATTCGCAGCAGTGTGTGTGTGTTTGTTCAGTGTCCTGAGTGGCGTACTTTGTACCAGTTTAATCCAATTGCAGTTGTGTATGTCTAACATTTAGTTTCTTAATGTTATTTTGGGTTTTACACCAATGTTCTGAGTTTACTTGGCTTCAGGTGATCTATATGGGAAAAGAGAACAGGTCAGTAGATCACGCAATATACATTGTGTCGGTAGTAATGTCAGGTGTTAGACACACTTGGTTCGACGTGTGCTCCCCTTTTTGTATTTTTGTTTTCTTAGAAAAGGTAGTTTAGGATGTCAAACATGCTGAAGATTTCGGTTTATTTTTGACATTTTATTTTACCACTTACTACTTCAGGATTTAGCAATAAACTTTGTGTTAGTAGAAAACCTGTAGAATTCTCGAATTATCATGCTTTCCACCCTCACATCCCCTTAAAAAAAAAAAAGAGACGTGTCCCTTTAAAATCCCCCTTTTGGAGCAGGCTCTTGTTCTGTGGAGAAAGCTACAATCCTCTTTTTCCCGGACATGTCCGGCCGTCGATGTCCGGGATTCAGCCTTTGGTTTCTGCAGTCGCCATTCATTGGTTACATGCACCCCCCCCCCCCCCCCTATTATTATCTGTATGTTCTTTTTTTTTTTTCTTCTGTGGGTTTTTATTTACATAGCTCATTCACTGTATCTTGTGGCTTTGGCTTTTTGGTAATAAATCACCTTTCAAACACTGAGTATTGTATTCATGGTTCTTTCTGCTGTACCCAATATACCAGCAGTAGTGATATCTGAATGTGTCATTCCCTCTCCTAGAACTTTTAAAGATCGTAACAGTAATCGATGCATCAACAAAACGAGCGAATCGTTACTCCCCTTATGCCTACTAATGAGATTTGTAGTAAATGATGTATTGTCATTGAACACATTCCAGAACTGCTTCATAACCCAGTACTGTTGGCCATTTAGCTCTTTGCTTTGATGTATAATGATTTCCGTCTCTAATCTGTGTCGTATTCTTTGCAGTGTCCATGTGCAGCAGCGTGAGCCCATACCATGAGGTGATGCGTATGGAGAGACGTCTACGGTCAGCCTCTGAGGGTGCAGGAGAACCCAGACTTCACCTCAATCTCAGGGATCCCCACTGCATGGAGGGCCACACTTTATACAAGCAGAGAACCAGTTCCTCATCTTCTAAATTGGGCAGCCTGGTAAGTCTATGCTCAAACTCAAATTTTCAAGAATTGGCTATATTGAATTGGTTTATTTGATCTAAATTTGTGTCTTTGAAAACCAATGATGTAGACTCTTACTGCGTCTTTTCTGAGGGATTAAATTCCCACCCAGCGATATAATCGCAGTGCTTAATTAAACCGACAAATCCTCTCACACCATTTTAGCCAGTAGGTCAGCAAGGACCGTATCCATTGGCCACTTTCCCTGAAATTTCATCTGGCCATGTAGAGTGCCACCAAAATGTATTCAACCATCTGCAGGTTCGTGCTATGTTTTATAGACTCAAGCAAAAAAAATAAACCCTCCCAATCATTACTTTTGATTCACTAGAAGTGTGTGGTGGTGTTTCTGTCTACAGCCATTGGCCAATAACAACACGCTGCACAGCTGATGGCGGGACTTTTCTGTCTTTGTCTGAACATCTGGAAACTCTCTCCTGTCTCTACATGAAAACCATTAGCTAATATTAATATATATTAAACAATTAGCTAATATTGCTAACCTCCTGTTCCTCCATCAGCCTCAGCTGTGCTTCACTATATTGCGGCTCGTAAAAACATTGGATTCGAGCAGCAGAATTTCAAAATCCTCTTCTTCCATATCATGTTTAGTTTCTTCCGTCATTGTCGTAACTTCCTATCTCCAAAGTGCTTGTTGGCTTCCAAACAAGATGGCTGATATTTATTTCAGTATCTGCAAGTGAAGTCCCACACACTGATCTGTAATAGGCCTGCAGGGTGAGTGGGTCCCACACCCTGCATAAATGATGAGCTAGTGTTTGTAGTCCTTATACAAAGAAATGGGACTTTGTATGAAGCAAAATGACTATTTTTACATCATAAAAGCAGGAAGTGGAATACTTAAATCCTTATTTCTCCCATCTCAGGGGAAAATAAGGGAATAAACCATGACCATTCAGAAATTTAACTGGGTTTCTAAATATGCAAATGGGAAAAGTGTCCCTTTAAAAGTAGCATCTCAAAACACTTTACATAAAAATATTGAAATTAAAAAGATACACAAAACAGTCCAGGCTGTAAAAACTAAACGAGCTATAAAAATAAAAAGCCAATATAGAACAAAGTAATCACATGAAAAAAGTACGTTTTATGGCGATTCTGCATTCATAATTTCAGAGGGCAGGGAATTCCTGGGAATTTAGGAGCCAAAGAAGAAAAAGCCTGATCACCCATAGTTTTTAGCTGTGTTGTTTGGATGGTTAAAAGACCAGGTTCAGAAGAGCGTGTAGGAGTGTAGGGGATTAAAGCTCACAAATATTGAGGGGCCAAATTTTTCAAGGCCTTACAAGTGAGCATGAGAATTTATGAATCAATTTGAAAACTAACAGGAAGCCAGTGCAATTTTTCCAGGATAGGTGTGATGTGCTCCCTTGCACTGTTCCTAGTCAGAACGCTAGCAGCTGAATTTTTTACCAACTGTAATTTACTTAAGGTAGCTTCTGAAACTTCAGCCAGCAAAGCATTATAATAATCAATACTTGAAAAAGTGTTGATTAAATTTTCAGCCTCAACATAGAGCATAGAGAGAAATGAAAGTCAACATGGAGCATAATTCGGAAAAGTTTCTGAGATGAAAAAATAGTTTTGACTGTGTTACGAACATTATGGTCAAAATGTTAAATTGACGTCAAATATCACCGCCAGATTTTTTTGTTTAGTTTGGAATTTCAAAGCAGAGCCGTCCACACTTAAGGTTATGGACTCTGTTTTACACAACTGATGAGGTGAACTAATAAGCATCACTTCAGTCTTATCATTGTTTAGACGGAACATTTTCAGACATTAATTTCTTAATCTCAGTAAAACATTGAGAAAGAAAAGATTGCCTTATTGACTGTATTCTGTGACTCAACAGGCCAATCAGCATTGTAATTGCGTTTTAATGATGATGCGTAATTATAGTTTTATTAGCAAACTAGTGAAGCTACACTGGCAGCCAGTCATTTAACTATTAGCATGCCTGTTCTTACTCTCTCTCACACACACAAATGCAATTTATGCATGATAAACACAATAATCTTTTTTTCTGTGCAAAATACCTCATCACTCATCTTCCTGCATTTGAGGCAGTATTGTGTCAGAACTTGGGCCTGAAGAAAAAGAACAATTAAATAAACTCTGAGAAGTAATTGAAAAGCCCAAAGCAGAAGATGGATATAAGAACATTTCCAAATCGTTGAATATGCAGTGAAGTACAGTTAAATCAATAATGACGAAATAGGGAAAGTATGGCACTGCTGTTAATCTACCTAGAACAGACTGTCCTTCAAAAACTAGGCGACCATGCGAGAAGTCTGTGATCCTTTATTCTAACCTAATAACTTGGTCTCATGGATTCTCATTCCTTATTCAAAAGTTCAAACCATTTGAATAGAAATATTATGGTTATAAAACACATAGTTCATGTTGTCCTACAGTTTTAACCTTTTGTTCAAAGCTTATTAAAGCAAGCCACCATCTGTTTATTAAAAGCAGACACCAAAAAATTCCTATCCTTTAATCTTTTCACAAGACCTCACAATAAACCTGTGGATTATGCACAATAACATGCGCATTGCTCACAGCAGGCCATTTGAAGTCCAACAGGGATTGTGTTGAAGAAACTAAAAGCCTGTAGTGCTGAGGTTTTCACTGAGAACAAATAATCTACTAACTGTTAGCATGCTGAAGTACAGCACACTTTAAGCTTGATAAACCACTTTTTCAATAAAAAATGTAAACTTTTTTTTTTAATATTTAAAAACAAATTCTGAAAACGTTCACTAGTTGACTTTACTAGTTGGTTATTAACCCTACTATTATATTTCTTTCCTGTTTACACTAATTGCATTTTGGGGTCTATATGACCCCAAAGATGCACAGAGCTTTTGTACAAAAAATATACATTTTAATAATACAAATTATATATCATTTTTTTCAGTTACTTCTCATCTATATTTTTATGCTGTGTTTTGGGGGATATGAAGTACTTTTGTACCTATTTACTGCAGAATTCCTCAACTACAGCATTAGCATAAATATGAAATATTACATTTTTATGAAAAAAAACACATTAATGATGATCAAATTTAAATATGAGTTGTTTCTGGATATTGATCTAGGTGTCTGATGCATAATTCTGCCATCTGCTGGTAAGATGTTTTTTTGTAGATAATATAGTTTTAGCCAGAAAGTGTAATTACCATATACTTCCAGCAGAGGCCCCATTGAAATCCATTCATTTTTCTAAATGTGACTTACTGCTCTTATAACAGCTTTTGTTATGAATATATTTATTTAAACATTTAAAATACATTAAATCAGTATTTTGTCAAAGTTTACAATTATTTGTGTTGTTGTTCGGGGTATTTTTAAGTATCTTGTTATTGCAATAATGTTTTATAAATTTGCAGTAATCCCAAATAAATTTGCAATAATGCCACATTAGTTGCCACTAAAAGAAAATACTTAATTGCAATTACATATTATTTCAATAATCAAAATGCATCAAATGATTAACTTTAGAATAAGAAATTAATTTTTAAAAGGTAAATAAAAACAAAAAAACAAACAGCTATAGGCGGATAGGAATAGTAAAGAGTAAAGAGTAAACACACCTGTGTGTCTGTGTGTGTTTGTGTGCGCACGCATGCATGTGTGTGTGTAATCATGATCATTCCACATTGTTTTTTTGCTCCAATGCCAGGCCTTCATTTTTATGTGAACATTTTTAGATTTATGCTGGAATTACTATTATTTTTTTTTGGGCCAATTTCAATAAAAATGGTCTCTTTTGCAGTCACACCTGTATGTTTGTGTGTGTCTCTGTGTGTGTGTATGTGTGTGTGATATGTGTGTAGTCATGTTCTTTTCATTTCATTTTCATTGCATTTGTGCTCTCATACCATACCTTCATTTGAGTGTGATTTTTTTTAGATTTATGCAGAAATTATTGATTTTGTTTCCCAATTTCTATAAAAATGCTCCCTATTGCAGTCAAACCTCTATCTCTGTGTGTATTTGTGTCTGTGTGTGTGCACATGAGTGTGTGATAATGTTCATTCCACATTGTATTAGTGATCTACTACCAGACCTTCATTTATGTGTGAGAATTTTCAGATTTATGCTGGAATTATTGATTTTATTTGCCAGTTTCGTAAAACTGCTTTCTATTGTAGTCACACCAGTGTGTGTGTTTATGTGTGTGTACACGTGTGTGTGCATGTTATCATGTTCGTTCCACATTGAATTTGTGCTCTAGTACCAATACTTCATTGCGGTATAGAAATTTTCTGATCTATTCTGGATTAAGTGATTTTTTTTTTCAAATGAAAAATAAAAAACACATTTTTTTCGATTTTCCCATTTATTTCAATTGGGGTCATATTGACCCCAAAATGCAATGAGTGTGACTTTTTTTTTTACATACCTTTAGAACAACCGAATCAAGCCCAGTTTTTTTTGTGTGTGTATAGATAGATAATGTAGAAAAAGTCACAAAATTTTATGCATCTGAGATCAAGGGAACCATGTTTATTTACCTCGGAAAAGTCGATTGGGGTCATATTGACCCCAAGTATAAAATGAGGGTTAAAGGTCTAATTAGGATAGTCAACTATACTGGCCCATGCCTATTCACTTGAAAAAATAGGGACATTCTGTTAATATTTTTCTATTTTAATATTTTTTTTTAAGTGTAATTTATTCTTGTGATAATAAAACTGAATTTTCAACATCCATTACTCCAGTCTTGTTACATAATCCTTCAGAAATCATTCTGATATGCTGATTTTCATTGAAAACAGGTGTGCTGCTTAATGAAATAAATCTTTTGTAACATTTAAAATGTATTTTCTCTCCCTATTGATTAGTTGAATCCTTGATTAATAAAGGTATACATTTCTTTCCAAAAACAACAAAAACAACGCACTGACCCCAAAGTTTTGAATGGTAGTGCAGTTAAGTTTGAAGTGACT